CAAGATTTGGCAGCTCAAACATTACCATCTCTGCTGATTTCAAACCAGGTTCTCAGCCCAACCCCACAAAACAAGGTCACCTGAGATTAACTAAAGGGATTTTTGCTGATTTTGGGGACAATGACCTGTTCTGACTCATCTGTCATGAACTGATGGCAGTAATGTGTCTGGGCAAGAAGTCTTGGGCATTTGGAAAATTCCAAGAGCTGTGGAGCAGTGCCAAGATTCCAAGAGTGTGGAGCATAAATCCACCTCGTGGGGATCTGCAGTAGGTTAAGCCCTCCCCTTCCCCCAGTGTCACCAGGGCAGTGACACCTTCGTGGTATTTCAGTGACATTCAGCTCCTATCAATAATTCAGCTGCTCTAATTGCAGCATCTCAAACACACGATGTGCACAAGGTGTCAGCAAAGTCAGCCTTCCCCCTGATTAACACTTCTAATTGGCTGTTGCACTGGGATTTTGTTTCCATGTTAGCTGAGAAGGTCAGAATGGGAGCTCAAAGGGAGCAGAGAAATAATACAGAATCAGTGTTCATGTTCCAGCAGAAGACAGGAAATTAAAAGCTGAATTTTTTATCCTTAATTCACCTGCCTGGGCTCTGTGTGGCCATTTCTGAGGAATCCAGCTGAACAGTACTTTGGGAAAACTCCCACTGCTTTGCTCCAGGAAGGGCTGGGATGGGGAAAGCTGCCTGCAAAGTCAACAGCTACAGACCTGCCAGCTGCAAACCAGGAAAGAATAGGGGTGCAGTGCCTGCACTTGCAGGAATTGTCCCATTTCCACATGCAAAGTGCTCCAAGGGGGAATAGAAAATCTGTCAAAGGTGATGTCAGTTGTTATGTTCCACGGGAGAAAGATGTGCTGGCATCCCAACTTTGCTGGCTCTGCAAAGGAACAGTGAATTTCCTCTGCTGGACTGCGTTTGATGGAAATACAACTCAAACTCACATTTGAGTCACTCAAACGTGGCATTGGTTCCCTCAGCTCTTCTGAAGGAGAAGCTGCAGTCCCAGGAATTCAGCCCTGCCCAGGGTGGCTGGGAACTGTGAACACTCTACACACCCCACAGATAACGTGGGAATCCCCTGTGGAAGGATACACACGTGTTCCAGGCACCATGGGGGAATGGGAAAATCCCTCCTGTAGATCTGCAGGAAATTGTGGCTCTCTGCTTGTTCCCAGTTGTGGGAATTTGGGCACCAGCCTTATGAAATATGAGTCCTATAAAGCAGTTCTCTCTGCCTTTAGAAGCAGCTGAGCATCCCCAGGCTCCCACAAAGCACATCCAGCTCGAGCAGGCCGTGTGTGCTGGAGCGAGGAGGGACACAAAGCAAAAACAAACTGCAAGTTATTAATGGCCTCCTTTGCACTCTTCTTTTGGAAAAGCTTTTTCAGTTTCTTCCTCTGTTCTAACACAGTGACACTGCCAGCACCCTCTGCTTGTGTCCCAAGGGGAAAAACATATTGAATATGCATTTAATGTGGGATTCTTGGAGCTCCCAAATCAACAGCAATGAGGAGCACAGAAGATAAAACCATTGATGATTCCAGGGGTGTGGAAGCCATCCCTGTGACTTCACAGCCTAACAGACAGATGGAATTGTTTCCACAAGGCCCTGCATATTGCCCTGAAGGGAGTGGAGCTCTCTCAGATCCTCCAGGCAGCTGCCTGAAGCCAAGTTCTGCTCCAAGCTCCTGTTCCTCTGATCCTGCCCTTAGGGAGGTGGCACTGCTCACTGGGAAGAAGTGAAACAAAGGAGCAATGACATACTGGAAACCTTTTTTTGCCTTTCCATCTCCCCAGGGTTTTTAATTAATCCACATTTTGTAACCACAATTAATTATTTGCTGCAAGTCTTGGGAATACAGTGGGTAATACCACAATTTAATGTGTTTGGAGAAAAAAAGCCTGACTACAGAAGTGCCAAATCAATGGATTTCACAAAGTTCAGACTTTCCATCTGCTTATGATGTACCTGAGTGCCTTGAATCTGTCTTCCCTCATAATGGGAATTTTGGTCCCTTTTCTGAGAGCTGACAGGAGGGTGGATCCAGGTGGGGGGTTGGTCTCTTCTCCCAGGTGACAATTGGAAACGGCCTCAGTCTGTGCCAGAGGACATTTAGAGTGGATATTAGGGAAAATTTCTCCATGGAAAGGGCTGTTCAGCCCTGGCACAGGGCAAGGATGGAACTCCCTTTCTCAGAAGGATTTAAAAGCCATGTGGATGTAGCACTTGGGGACATGGGTTAGTGGTGGCCTGGCAGTGCTGGGGGAACAACTGGCCTCAATGGTCTCTTGAGAGCCTTTCCCCGCTCAGAATTTCCATGATTCTAAGATCCATCCCTGCTCTCACCTGGACTTCCAGCCATGCATTCTCACTGCCTCTAAACCTGCAGGTTCATCCCTAACTGCTGCTGCTGTGAAACTGTCCATTCCTGACTTGTTGCTGACTTCTGAGCCTCCCTGAAGGTGCTCCTTGAGCAGTTCTGCAATATTCAAATATTAATTCAGACTGCACTGAACAAACTCCTCTGGGAATAAACAGCAATCAGGATAATCCCCTGCAGCTCCACAGCTTCCTTGGTCTCTAACAGGTGCTGTCAAATAAATCCACAGAATAAATCAGCCCCTTTGTAACCATGAGGAAGGATTTTATAACTGCATTTGCTGAGTGGGAGGACATTTTTCTCTCTGCTTTTTTACTGACAGTCAGATAAAACCACACTAATCAAGAGAGACATGAGACAGAGGCCTTGGAGGTGAATTGCTGTTTATACTGAGGGCTCCTAATCCTCCACTCTTTTGAGGATTCTGGTGCTACCACAGCAAAGAGAACCAAGCTGTTTGGATACAGACCAGTTTTCATTATGGATGGACCAGGAGATGCCAAAAATACTGATGGTGCCTTCGTAATATTTTCATGCTAAGCACCTTTGTATCAGCTATACTTTATTCTTCTATCACAGCTTGTCCTTCTCCTGGCAGGACACTCACAGGGACCTCCAGCAAGGGCAACTGCAGGGGTGGAGCTGGTCTCCAGAAAGAAAATACCTGCATCTCTATATATCTCTAAATATCACTTTGGTTTTTTCTGTTATGCTACTGCACTGTACTCACAGCAAAATCCATCTTTGCTTTCTTGCCACTTTAAAAAATATTGCCCCTGGATATTTCCTTCCCCATTCTTGCTCCTTTTATTTCTAAAATGTTCACCAGAATTCACTGTATTTCTTCCCATGGTCTGGAAAATGGATCAAGGCAATGACACCTACTTAACATACATTTTTCCTCCCCAAAGCTTTGCAGTGAGATGAAGGAAGTGTCAATTCCTTCTGAAGGAGAGCACTGGGACTGACTGCTGGCAGCAGGCAGCCAGGATGCAGACACACAGCCCTGGGAGATGAGCAGGGAGCAGCTCTGCAAACCTTATTCATTCAGCTGAAATGTAAATCCTGCTCCTCTGAGGGGAGTGGAGAAGCTGCTGTGATCCAGGCAGGATAAAGTGTGCAGGGGCTCTGGGGGGTTTCATGCTTCAGGAGGCAGAGGGTCATGAGAAGGAGGGTCTCTGAAGAGAACTCAGAAGAGAGGGGTGACACGGACTGACTGACAGGAAACGTCACCCCCGTGCCACCGCTTGGCATCTTGGGCCATTTTCATGCCAGCAACGAATGTCAGAGAGCAAATGAGTACTGGCAGCTCTGGGACGGTGAGAAAATGGGTGTGGGAGTGTGGAAATGCTGACAACCCAGAGAGATGCAAAGATACATGGGCCATGTTTAAAAGCCTCCACTAAACCCCCTCCCCCTGGGAAGCCCTGTTTTGTTCCTCCAAGTGTCTGTTCTCTCTGCTCACACCAAGCCCTGCATGTGCTGCCAAGGGCTGTGCACAGCTCAGTTATCATGAATGAAATGAGAACAGTTGGGTATTTATAGGCTCAGCAAGCTGGTGCTCCAAAAAATCTAAAAGCTCTTCAAAGTGCCTTTAGCTCCAGAGCAACACTGACAGTCCCTGCCAGATTGTGGGGACACTTGGGAAGAAGAGCCAACCATGGAAGTATCCTGAGCTTTGTGCTGGGCATCTTCCAGTTTGCAGAGAGTAAACAATAAATTAAAACATTAAGATATGGAAAAAAACACAATGACATGTCCAAGATTTCTGTGAATATGGATACACAAGATAAGTTCTGCCTAGTTTTCTGTGGAAGAGCTCACTTCTTCTGTGAAAGAGACAACAACGTGGTGATGAATTCAAGTTAATTGAGTTGAATATTGCTTAGATATATTGCCAGATGTTCTAACAGTGGCTTATCACTAATGACACCAGACAGCTTTGAGGAAGCTAAACGTTTCCCAGATATACCAGTGAATCTCTCCCTGTTTCCTGGAGACAAACACTCCAAAAAGGCAGCAGGACCTGGCAAACCAATCGTTGCTATCACAGAGCTTCTGTAATTCCAAACCAGTTCCGGCTCCTGCAGCCCTGGGGACCAAGGTACAAGGGCCAGGAGCCTGTCCCTGGCTGAACCTGAGCAGTGTGGAAGGCTCCACCAAGATAAGATAGTGGGCTGCACCTGCCGTGCGGGCGCGTGTTTGGGATCCACGTTTTCCAGCTGCTGATCCCACCTCCCTGGGATCCACACTCACAGGGCTCGGGACTCAGCTCTTTCCAACCCAAACCATTCATGATTCTCTGACAGCAAGGCCCTACTTGAGGAGTGACAGCATTTTCTATCTCCACTATGAGATATGTCAGAAACACAAAACCCCCAACGTATCCAACAGGAGAGATAGATTCTCATTGTTTTGCTCAGTGTTGAGTGCTAGCCAGGCCAACAAAATCCAGAGGGAAGTGTGGATAAGAGTTCTCTCAAAGACAGGAAAGAGGGACAATGTACCTAGAGGGGCTCTCTTCAGTCCCCAGGTTCCCCAGAACAGGCAGTGTGGGGTTACAGTGCTGTAGACAAATGATGGAGAAAAAATGAGAATATGAGAACTTACCACAGAGGACAGGTCCATGTTCACCATCCTCCTGTCATCCAGGTCGACTGGCTGGAGGCCTGCGACGTTGAGCTGGACAGAGGAGGTTCTGTAAACAAAGCTCAGCAGCCAGTCCGCCCTGGAAGCAGAGAAGAGTGGGAATAATTTTGTTCCCCAGCCAGTGCCATGTGGAATCAAAGAATTCCAGAATAGTGTGAGCTGGAAGGGACCTTAAAGCTTATCCTGTTCCACCCCCTACCATGGGCAGGGGCACCTTCCACTAGATCAGGTTGCTCCAAGCCCTGTCCAACCTGACCTGGAACACTCCCAATGTGTTACTACTCAGACCACAAGGAGAGTGGATGTGCTGGGAAGCACAGTGATGTCTGGACCAAGACCTGCTGCAGGTGTGTGTGATGAAGCAATCACACCAGCAATGCTTGCTGGATTCAGGGCAGGTTCCTGGGACACAGGGATGTAAGTCTGAGCTGAATCCTGATCCATGGCTGTCGTCTCTTTACCTGCAGTGAGTTTAAAAATCTGACCCTTCTGTTTATTTCTATGTTTGCTCAGGGTTTGCACATTGACGTATTTCATCTTTTTAATGCACTGATAGGTTCTCCAGGCCATAAAGCTGTAAAAGTGACGAGACCTACAACACTGATGTTGTGACATAAATATTGACTGTGAAGCTCCTGGGAGTGCTCCTGATTTATAGGTACTGTAGAAATACATGGCTTCAGTGACAGAACTAGGAAGGGTTTGTTCCCACTCTAAAGCAGTGCCATAAGTCACTGTGACAGTTTCAGGGTAAACTGTAGCATGAGGAGAGGAGGAAATACAAAACTCTTCTAAAGTGAGTAACAGCATAAAATCTGGGTACTGAAATGCCACTGTACTCTACAGAGCAGATTTAAGTGGGACATGAGTGAGATTTGTGCTCTGTGATGGCAGCAGGTGAAATGCTCCTGGCAAAGGTGCCCATTCCTGGCTACTCCCAAATAATCCACACTAGGAGTTGTAAGTCTATACAGAGCCCTGCAAAACCTTTACAACACATTCACACTGCTCAGGTGTGGGTTCTTTCAAAAGCTGAGCCAGTCCAACTGATTTGGGTGAGGTTTCCCACTGGGAATTTGCAGCTCTGCTGTTTAAGTGGGATGGGACAGCTCCAAGAGCTGACAGGGCTCTCACTCACCCTGTACTCTCATATTCCAAAGCCAAAGGAGAACAAGGACTGAAGCTCAACAACTGGGCTCAAATCTGATCTCACAGGAATTCTATTCAGTGTAATTCATCCAACCTAAACACAGTTACTCCTGAAGTGACAGAATGAGGCCACCCTTTGTGCAAGCAAGAGACCAGAGAAATCAGAATCGGGTGAGGCCTTACCACAAAATGTCTGTATAATCTTTCTCTCTACCTCAATCCTCACAGAAATTCCCCAAATGTCTCAATTCCCTCCTCTAGCTGCCCTTCACGTTGCCTGAATAACCCTGTAGACACACACACTGTATTTTATTCCAACAGTATAGGCAGGCTTAGAAACTGTAACAAGATCTTTTTTGTGTGTCTGTGTGCATGTTTAGGAAATGGATACACCGAGCAGTGATACAGTGAATTTTTTTTTGTAGAACATAGACAGGAACAATATTTTCTGGGTAAACTCAGTTATATGCAACAATTTCTATAATTTAGGGCTTCTTGGAGGAACTCAGAGCACTCCGAGGGAGGCAGCTTTTCCTTATGGCACAGGAAGAAACATTGCAAGTGGTATTTACATCTGGCATCCTTGAAAATCCTGACATCCAAAGAGGACAAAAGCAACAATTCCCAGCCTAGCTGAAAGATAGGATTGATAATTTTTTGTTTTAACCTTGAATACTTTAAATTTATTTATTGAATTACTCTTTCTAAGTGAAAACACTCTGTTAGGATCACAGTAATGCAGTACTTCCCCACCTTCCATGTACGTGTGTAGGCATCCCTATGGATTTGTGCATGGAAAACACCAGCAGCATTTTCACCTGTCCTTGACCCAAGGGCTTACAGCTTTATAAACTGTCTTGACTTGCAGGTTCTTTGCTAATTTTCTTGCCTGGTTATTTCTCAATTTATTTCCCCATGTTCTTAGTCTTTCCCACTTATTCCTTAGTTTTAATTTCCCCTTATCTAATTGTGCTGGTAAGCAGTGTTCCTGCCACAATTATCTTCCAAGACAAAGTCATTAGGTTTGAAGCTGTCACTTGACTACTTAATAGCTTTACTGAGATTGCTTCAGCTGTTTCAGGCCTCTTAACCTCCCTCTTCTCACCTAGCAGCTCCCATAACTCTGCACAACAGTTGTCTGGTTTTATTTCTAAAATGTTTTTCAATGTGGTTCTAAAGGGCTGGTATTTGTTTGGAAGACAATCTTTGTATTCTTTCATATCCTTACTAAATTTTCTATAGCTATTCCAGCTACTCATCCTTTGCAAGTTAAGTATCTTGTTCATGTGGACTATCTTGACCAGAAACCCACTCCAGACATAAAACCCTTCAATTTGCTTGAGCTCCTTCCCTTCCATTGTGATTTTCACATCTTTTTCCCCATAAGCAGCCACAAGTGAAGTGCACCTTAAAGCTTTTATAGATGCTAATTCCCATTCTTTAAGTCAGCAAACTTAATGCTGTATTACTGCCTTCACACAAAGCTGAGATTTAAGGAGCCTTCAGAATATATCAGATTACACACACAAACACGCTGACCCAGCTGCTTTAGGCTGTGAGTGGTGGAACATTGTCCCTCTGAACATGGGCTTCCAGTGGCACAAAGAGCCAAGAGCTGCATCAAACAGGCTCCAGGTGCCTCCTGAAGCTGCCATCTCAAAGGGATCTGAGGCAGAGGCCTGGAGGGACGAGGCTCTGACACTGCTCACTGTCCTCACCAGCACTCACAAAGTACTTGAAAGGGATAAATGCCCCAAACCATTTCCAGGCTAACAAGGCCGGGCACTGAGCTCACACTGACCTGCAGAAGCCATTTATGATCCTGCCTGACACCACTCTGGTGAGAGCTCTCCAGTGCTTGGCTTCTCCTTCCACTGGAGCTCCCAGTAAGACAACATCTTCAATGATCCCTTGTGAGTCTGTCAAGGTGAAAGCAGAACAGTTCAGATTCAGAAGATGGATCAGAAAATATTCTTATGTGAAGTGTGTTCAGATGTGCACTACACAAAGATCATCATTTAGGTGGCTTCAATTTGAAAGACAGAAACAATGGAAAGGAGGATCATAAAAACTGCACACAACTCAAGTGTCCACAATCCACCTGGAGTTAGTAAATGTGAAAAACTGAGATCCTCAGACAGTGCAAAGAGGGAGAAGTGGGATGGCAAGAGGGAGAAGTGGCCTGGCCTCTGCCCAGAAAGGTGCTGTTCAAGCAGAAACCTCTAGAAAGGTCTGGAAACCCCTGGAAAGATCTTTCTGCTGACTCATTGATGTGGGTTTGCACAGAGCTTTGAAACAGCCCCTCTGTGAAAGGGTCTGAGATCCCACAGAGTGAGCAAATGTTGTCACACGTGAAGCATGAGGAACTCTTCCCACAGCTGATTCTATGAAAAACATGACCTGAACAGGCAAGAGGAAATCCCAAATTGTTAATATTGATTTGGAAGTAGCAACAATGGAGAGACTTCCAATAACCAGTGAAGATCCATCAAACTGCTTTGATTTCCTTCTGCTGTAACCTGAATGCCCAGGGCCTGATTTGCTGAACAGCAGTGTTGACTTTTAAGCATAATAAATCTTCCTCACTTATCAGAGAGCTGCAGCTGGGCAATTTCAGGAGGAATAATGATGGAATAAGAAATATTGAGCAGCTCTGCTACTTTCCTAAACTCCTGAACAATATATCAGTATCTTCCATAAATCTTTGTAAAGAGAAATGAGGCCTGTGATCCACAGCAGTTAAATGGAAGAGTCATGAGCAGAACATTCCAAATCCATACTCTGCACCTGTGGGAGACCAGGTCCCACAGACCTGAGCTGAACTCTGCATTTGAGGGAGAGGTGCTGCCTGGGCACTTCTGAAATGCAAATCACTTAGCTTCCTTTCCCTGACAGCAGTAAAGGATTGGAGCTGCCTGCAGTGCCTGCAACCTTCTCTGCTGTGTAAATCCCATGCCTGACAAATCCAAATGAGCACTCCTGGAATTTTTTCTTATTGCAGAGCAATTTTTGCACCAATCAAAAAGAGCAAAGAGCAATTCAATTTTGTGAGTGTAATCTGTGAGCAATAAAGCCCTGTTCCCATAATTATGGGCAATGAAAAGAAAACACAGAGTCTTGCAGGAAGCTCATCCCAACCAAGGTTCTAAATTCCATGTCCATGGTGTGAGCCAAATGAATAAACAATCAGCTAATTCATCAGGATCCTGAATATTTGGGCAAGGTGTTGGAAGCTTTTGTTTCTCCAGTCCTTTGTCCAGCTTATTGCTTGCTCAGAACAAAAAAAGTTTAGCCTTGGCTGAAAAATGCTCATTTTCTTTGAATGTTGACAGGATAGAAACCTGGGAACAGATCATTAGCCTGCAGAGCAGCTGAGGCTCGAGATAAATGAAATCTATTTCACAGTTTGTAAATCTTTTAGATGATGAAGAACAATAAAGTCTGTAAAAGCAGTGAAAAGAAAAAATTAATTAATTAACCATTTACCCTCATAGAGAGTGGCTAATGAATATGGAATTTTATAAAGGAAAATTTCCAATCAAGTCCAAGCAGGTGAGAACAGAGTGAGAATGAGAGGCCAAAATTCAAATCATTAAGATGATTTCTCCAGAAAAAGTGTGGAAGAAAGAAGCTGTCCCAGAGACCATAACCAATCCTGGGAGCTGGCCTTTGCTGTGCCCTATGGATGCAACTCACTGGGAAAGGGAAAGCAGCTCAGCACATCAGTCCTGACTGGAGGGAGAACAGCACTGGAATTCAGCTCTGGCTGTGTACAGATGTTCCAGGGCAGAGCTGGCAGCAGTATTCCCAACAGGGAGCAAGCAGGGATCACAGCCCGGTGGGATACTGGTCACATGAGCTGTGATCAGTACCAAACACCCAGAGTGTGACACCTCACTCCTGTCACACACAGCTGGGTTTCAAGGTTTCGTCTCTGGTGGTAACAGCCATTATCAATTTGCATTAGTTTGCTAATTGCTAAGTATTTACTAAAAGGCATGGGAATCACGATGAAGAAATCAGAGCAATGATCCTCCCACGCAGTAACGTGTCTCTGATGGCTCATTTACACCAGCTTCTACCATATTGTCATTTTCTGGAAACCTACTGAGCTCTGGCTCCAGAAGTGATCTGTGATGAAGTATCCAAAGGTTGTTCCATTGCTTTGCAGAGAAGCATTTGAACAGAATCTGTGTTCCTGCCATGGTGTTTCACTGGCCAATCCATCATTAGCTCTTTGTCCTCAGAAATGCCAGTGCCATCTGGATACAGGGCCCTGCATGACAAGGCCGTATGTTCCTTTCGTGTGAGACATCCAAGTCCAAACCCAAATCAGTCTCAGCTGTCCCAGGTCCCAGCTCTGCTCCTTCTGTGGCTTGCTCTGGAATGTGCCTGTGAGAACGCCTTGGCAATCTGTGCTGAACATGCTGCTTTTCATCTCACAAACAGCTCAGCTTTCAGAATTCAATTAAGGAACTGAAAAATCAGTGTATGGTGGGAGCTGTTCTGATGCATCACCACGATACTTGTGTTTCTTTGGAGTGGCAGCCAACCTTCCAGACCCCTAAGGATTTCCTCCCTAAGCTATGGGCCCGTGTCATTCCAGAGCCTGTAGACTGAAATAAAAACCTGGAAATACCTCAGCCCTTGGCATTCTCAGGACACAAAAAGTGTAGATCTAGGGCCAGATTAAGAGCTGGTTCTGGCTTCAGTGTAACTCCATAAGGATTATTCTGGATTTGATTATATTTATTTTGAGAACAGAATTCCTGTATTTGAAGACTTTTATCTTAAATCAGAAGTGAAGTTCTGGCATACAGCTGTCAGTCCTGACCTTCTCCATGCTCACTTGACTCTGTTCCCACCTTCTTGGACTTTACTGGACATTTTCCTTTATAAAATTCCCTAGTTATGATTTACTGTGAAGTAAGTGGTTAATGAGTTAAATTGCTAAGTGGGGGGAAGGCAGGCTGCACACACTCACTGCTGACTCAACTCCAAGATACAATTTCCATCAACTGATCATAACGATTTTACTCTTTTTTTTTTCCTAAATTAAAAATAGAAATCTATTAATAAAGAAAACCACAATGGGTAATAAATTGGCAGATGGTTTTATACTTGACTTTGGGGGAAAATTACCACGAAAATAGCAGATGACAGTGGCACTTCAGAGACTAAAATGGAAGGCAGGACTCAGGGAATCAGATACTAGAGCTGCAGAGAGCTCCCAAGAAAGGCAAAGCATCCTCTGCTGGGATCAGGCTGTGCACGGGGAGCTCAGACTGATCACAAATGTCACATTGTTGTTTACAGACCAAAATGACCCACTGAAGTGAAGACAGTGGATTTTTTCTGCTGGACTGGGGTAAAATGACAGAAGAATTTGGCTCCAAAGGCATTTAAACCTCGGGGTTTTTTTTGTTTTCATCCTATCCTAAAAGAGCCAAGCTGTGTTCTTCCTCTTGGAAGAAAAATTTCTCCAGTATGAGTAAGGAAAATAAAAGAAAAAATGGTTAGAAGGTGAATGTTACCTTTTTCCTGAGCCATTTCCTGCAGGCAGAAGTAAATGACTCTGGCACCCAGGCTGAAGCCAATCAGTGTGACAGGTCTCTGGCCCTGAGAAAGAAGGAGAGGAAAAAATGTCACCAAATGGTGTTTTCTCTGGAAAGAGATCAGGCTGGGGATCCCTGAGAGCCCGAGACACAGAGCACCTGCTTGTGCATCACCTTTGAAATAGTGGAGCAATTTGGTTGGTTTCAAAGGGATCAGGTCTCCTCAAAGTTATGCCCAGTTCAGCGTGGAGAATGCTACATATGTGTATTTTGTATGTTTTGATCTTCAGAAAATCAACTGAAAACTAGTGATCAGAAGATACAATGAAGGGGATGTCTCAAACAGGACCAAAAGAGATGCTGCTCTTGGTTTGAAATTTCCAAATTAAAACCTTATTCAAGGAACAACATTTTCCTAGAAATGTTTCAATACACAGAAGAAGAAGCCATAATACAAAAATACTGACCACTTCCAGATTTCAGGCTGAGTGACAGCAGCAGCATGCGATAGTTATAAAAGATTACGTGGCTTCTAAGCTTCAAGCTTTTATTTTGAACAGCCTAATAAGATTTTCTGTAAGATAAAAGGGAGCCTAATCCCAACATCAATGAAAAATGGTCTTTGTAATATCCAGGGAGCAGGTGTGCAATGGACACCCCAGACATCTCATTAACTAGTTTCAGACTCTCCAGCACACTGGAATGTGTTTTCACAACAGCAAATGCTTAACAGACAAGAACAAATGCCCCATAGCAAAAGAAAGGGCTTGTATGAAAAAAAGTTTATTGAGTTTTCTAGGATTGGGTTTTTATGATAAATCAAGTTTGTTCCTCCTCTGCTGTTCCACCTTGCTGGGGCCACAGCTCCCCTTGGGCTCCCCTATGATCAGCAGTGACTGGTGTGAGACAAACACATGGCCAGCAAACACCAGCTCTGGCCCACCAAATGATGGCAGGCTCTTGCAGGGCAGAAATGTCATTTTTCAAGCCTTTTCAGAGAGACTTCTGTCACTTCTGTCTGGTACCAGCCTGTTCCCTTCTCTGCAGGCAAAGCCACAGCTCACTGGGCATTGGCTACCTCCCACTTTTCTCTCAGGTTGCTGTGTAGGTGCCTCTTAATGATCCATAAATATTTTTTACAACTTTGTATTTTCCTTTCCTTTTCACCCATCCTCACCTCCTGCTCTCTGACATCCACTAGGTGAGCGGGCCTGGCTGTGTTGTGACATGGTTAAGCCACAGGTCATTTATGACCTGGATCTCTTCTTCCTCAATGACAAAAGCTTTAGGTTAAATGGAACAACTCTCAGCAGGATTTCTCTGATCCACTTGGGACCTCCTCCTTTTCCCCAGTAAGCCAGATATCTGCTGGTCACCTTCATGCAGCACTCTCTGTGCTTTTGTTTTATTAATTTTTGTCCCCTTAGAAAGACACCATTTAACCAGCACGACTACAAAATTTCACCTCCCTGGGCCAGTTCCCTTCCAGCTGTTACTCCTGGATAACTGTGGCCAGTTACCTGCTGTCTGCTGAGCAGGATGTGTGCGAGGTGTTTGCCCACTTCAGCAGAGCGATGCAGACACACTCCCCAGGGGTTGTCAATGACACTGGCAACAGTCAGGAGTGACGCTGGCCAAGTCAAGGCTGTCACAATCCCTGCAACACACAGAGCTTCCTTAGAAAACATCAAAAGCAAGAGAGTTCACTGAAGTTAAAGGCTAAGCCTAGGAGCTTATGTCATTTCCAGCTCTTCTTTCCCACTAGCTGTGCTGAGAAATGCTTTGCTGGACTAAAGATAAGAAAGAATCTGATGTTCTGGCACAGGGGGGGTGTGTGCAACCCGTGTGTTGGGACATTTCTATGCAGCAGTAAATGTGTAATAATAGAGGGAAATGAACAGTCACAGGTGAAGGATGGTGTTTCCAGCTATAACTGTAACAGAATGATGCAATGACATGGTGGCTCAGCAGTCCAGGAAAGCACAGCTAAATTACAGGTGTAGTAGAGGAGGTTCTCAGGTCACTTCTGCTGGGCAATGCCAGCACTGCCTCCCCCAAAACATTCCATCTTTAGGAAAGCTCCTTTAACACTGAAACTGCACAAGAGCCACTAAAACAGATCTGACAGGATTTACTTTCTTACCTGACAAGACAGTGAATTTTAGGGCTTCTTGAGCCATCATGTTCACAAAGCCATTCAGCAGGGAATCCAAGGCGTTGCCAAGCTCCATCAAGTACTTGGATTCCCAGGCCAGGCAGTACTGCTCACTTGAGTGCAACATGCTGCTCCACGGGGCTGTGAAGCTCCCTGGGAAAGGTTGCAAAGATGGAATTCATGTTTGGAGAGAACACAATGGCTGATTCCTGGCAAGAGGAGGCCAACAGAGCTGCAGGACACTGGAATATTCCAGCAATGCTGTTAATGACAGATCAACACTGAAGGGCAGAGCAGAACTGTCAGTTAATTAAAAGCCTTCCCACACTGTTCCTTCTCCAAACAATGCAGCTCAGGTTGAGGCAGCTGCTGATCAAAGTGACACAAGATCCCCCCAGTAGTCTGTCTTATACGAGGACACATGGATTGGCAACTACTGGCAGCTCCAAAATCACAAGGTGGCAAATTCCATAAAACTCCTGGCCTCAGTCCTGTTTGAAGGACTGTGTACACAGACACACACTCCTGTAAGGAGGAAAATGGATGACAACCCTTGTTTTGTTCTTTAAAACATTCTAGCAGATTGCTAGTTATGGAAGAAGAATGTGTATCATCTGTAACTCCCTTTTATGGGCAAACAGACACAAAATGTTCCTGGAGGGACACACTTGCCTCTCTAACTGTGCCTGGGAGCCCTCCAGCTCTGAGGATTTGGACCTCTGGCAAGTGAAGAAAGAAGCCAAAGCACAACACTGCAAAATGAGAACTTCCCTGTGACAGCAAGCTGCAGCCTGGCAAGTGACAGGACGAGGCATCCTTCTGCATTAATGATATCCAGAGTTAATTATGGTGCTTCTCAATAAACTGGCAGCTGTTCAATCAGCTGAAGCTGAGCACATTAGCAGACAGGTAACATATTTTATATGACAAGCTACACTGGAAAATAAAGTACTACAGACCTTTCAAGGTTTCCCCTGTAAGTCACCTCCAGAGTGCTGTGCTTAATAGGATTCACTTGACAGAACTTTCTTGCCAATAAACTTCATTAGCTGGCAGATATGGAGAGAGCCAAACCACACTATTTTCTGTTAATTCCTGGTGGATAAACATAAGGTCTCAGAGACACTTTGTACTAGTGCTGGCAATCATCTCCCAGACAGATCTCTTCTGGCAAAACCATGCAAGAGTTCCTATCAGAAACAATCCTGCTATGACTACTCTCAGTCCTGCTATCACCACCAATATAATGCCCTCTTTTTTTTCCTCCGTTTGCCTGGGATTGCAGATTGAGTTGCAAAATCTTATGGTGAGAATTCATGTGGTTCAGTTACCATGCCATGGAAATATGGGGCAGACATGGTGCTTTGTGAGCACAAACACAGCCTGGAGCAGGACACAGCCACAGCTCTTGGAGCTCCTCTCAGCTTCTCATCATGTTCTTACCATATTTGCCAGTGCACAGCCATCCAGTGATTGCTATGGTGATGTGGAGCTGCTTCCCTTCCGTAAGTGGGAGGAATTCAAACTCTTCTATGGCTCCCACACGTTTCTTCATTTTGTATCCTACACACAGCCAAGAAGAAACACATGGCTCAGGGATGGCACAGAAAGGACATCCTCTGCTAACAGTAGGAGTTCATTAAGAAATTAACTGGGTAATATGGAGAGGGTTTTTTTTTCCTTTCCAAAACCCTCAGTCAGCCCATGCATTTCTTACAGCTTGGTAAGGAGCCAAAATGATCTTTCTGAAGTTGTGCAATCTGAGGGAATCCAGCAGAAGGGGTTTTTTGCTGTAACAGCTGCTTTCTACATGGCAGCATCTTTCTAACACAAAGCTTCATTTCCTTCATTAACCACACACCAAATATTCTTTCTCTATTTGGTCACCAGGAGTTACCTTAATCAGCACTGAGACAAAATCTCACGGATTACACCTCAAATTGCTTCCCTCACTCTGCAGAGAGCTCAGTGGGGTCATTAACTGTGTTTGCACACATGATACTGTGCCCCACTGGCTGAGAATGGTGTGGTCACTCTCTTACCAGTAAGACCAGCTCCTGCTGCTCCAAAAAGGGATGCCATGACAGCAATCCCAGCAGTGGATCCTAAAGCAGCTGCTCCAGCACTCCCGATGATCGTGGCAGCTCCCGCAGCAACCAGAGGGGCAGCCAGGCCTCCTGTCAGACCTGAGGACACAGAAAGAGATATCACCAAACTATTATCCCTTAATATGCCAGGCAGGCATTCCCCTGGGAGAATGCTGCTACTGCTGCTGGAAGAGCTTTTTGCATGTCCAATAAAGAGGCTTTCTGAGACCTTCCCAGGCCCTGAATCTCTGCCCAAATTCTGTGACTGACTCCAGATGAATGAAGAATAATTTCGAAGTCAAAGGAAGACTATGTGGTGATCTGGGGTGAGCTCTGCTCTGTTTGCTCAGGAAACATTGATCTAATCTCACACTTTTGATTTCAGAGTTGAAGATCTGATCCTCTTATGACAGCAAAGAAGGAGAAAACATTTTTAAGGGGTGACAACCTCAGTTTAATACTTCCCCCAGTTAGTGAAGCTACACTGGAATAACTTTTCCAGCTAATTCTTTCATGTTTATTTTTGTCAGGCTGAAAATACTTTTCTTGGAGTCACACCCCTCTCTGTCCCTGGTGCTGTGTCCCCAGAATGCCAGGGGAGGGGCAGCCTCACCAATCACTGTTCCACCCCCAACAGTTGCCAGACCGATCAGCAGGTATCTCTTCAGCTTTTTCCTTCTTTCCTTCTTTTTTCTTGAAACTTCTGCAGTTCTGTGGGGGGATTAAAAGGACAAAAACTAAGGGAAAAGCCCAACGGATAACAATGCTGCATCAGAATCTGCTTTTATTCTCCTCAGTGTAACTTCCCTCCCAGGAACAGTAAAAAGGAACATGCAGGTGTGGACTGTGACGGCACACTGAGATTTATGAGCATGGATTTAGAGATTTAAATTGAATGGATTAAATGGACCACAGATTTAAATTGAAACAATTTAATTGCTGACAAAAGCCAACAGGTATTACTTACTCAGAAAACCCTTCCTAATAGGGCTGAAGCTTGTAAAGAAAAAGAAAGAAACAAAAAGTCAAAAGCATTTCATTAACTATATGTTGCCTAAGTGTCCTAAAAAACCACAAGAAAGCTAAGAAGAAACAGGGGAAAGTGTTTGAAATAAAAGGGAATAGGAGTAATTTGTGCTAACAAACAGAGATGCAATTAAACTGTTTTTCAAAAGCAGTGTTTACTGCAAGCTGCTTTCTAATTGCACATCACAATAATATAATAGGAATTAAACACAGTCATCAGTGTGCATTTAAGCTGTATTTTAACAAGCTTATCAGAAAGAGGTAAATAAACCAAAAAGGAACAAATACTAGTTATTAGCCACTACTTTTGACTTCTCTCCAGTGTCTTTGTTTTTTCTCCTATAGGAAGTCCTTCCATTTCAGAGGAAAGTGGGAGAAACAGAGGATACTGGAATAAGTTGTTTCAAGAGGAAGGTTCCTTCTGGCCTGTTTGCACAGCAGTTAATCTAGGCCTTGAAACATGACAATTTATCTTGCTTCCAAACTTGGATATTTTCCCTGTTAATCCTACCCTAATTTTGGATTTTCATTATCCATATAATTGCTTAATCTTTCCTGGAACCCCCTAAGCATGCTGTAATTTTGATTAAGACAATTTTACACGAGTCCCAAACAATATGCAGCTTTGTGAGGCGCAGCAGGAGGGGAATGGAGCTCAGGGGGTGAAATCCCTGAGTCACTGCACTCACTGGCAGAACTCCCATGGACCTGCACATCATGGAGACTTTGTCTCCACAGAGCCCCTCCAAAAAACCACGGCTCATTACTTTATGCAGCTGCAAACGTGGTATCTGCAGAGAGCAGCACCTCTCCAATTTCTGCACAGCCACAGCCACTTCTACAGCCCCATGGACAAAGCAAGGTTTGGCTATCACAGAATCATGGAATCACTGAGGTTGGAAAAGATCTCCAGGACCATCAAGCCCAAGCCGTGCCCAATGCCCTCACCCTGTCCCCCAGCCCAGAGCACTGAGTGCCATGTCCAATTGTTCCTTGGACACCTCCAGGGATGGGGACTCCACCACCTCCATGGGAAGCCCCTTCCAATGCCTGACAGCCCTTTCCATGAAGAAATTCCTCCTGATTTAACCTGAACCTCTTCTGACACAGCCTGAGGCCATTTCCTCTCACCCTTTCCAAATGCTCTACTTTGTGCCTTAGTCACCAGTCTGAATGCTTGGCTTTGGATAAAATTGCTCCTGGAGTTCCTTATATGAGTGCTGCAGCCAGGCTGTTCATACCTAAGCTGGCAATACTCAGTAATTTCTGTTCTACATGAGGTTCATCAGCTTTTACAATCACTGCACTATGTCTCAGGCTGAGAATAATGACAAGAGAGTTGGAACATGGCTAACTTGGAGTCAGCTGGAATAATAAGCAGTTTGAGTTATGTGGGGAGAAAGAGAGTGGCAGCTAAATCCTGCTTGCCAATGCAGTAAATAAAAGGAGAAGCTCTGCCTGTCACTGCTTCCCTTCTGGAGCTGCCAGCAGCTGCTTCCTAATGGCTCCTCCATTACCATTATCACTGGATTACCAGACTGCTTTTATCCACTGTGGTAATTAAATGCTGCTTCTGGTATTTCTCCACCCTCACTGAGCTCAGATGTGCAGCTTCTTGCCTGAACCACAAATTATATTCAGAGAGATTGTTATGGGGAATTTCAGGTGATTTTCCAGTAAGGAAAGGTGCAGGAGCACACATCAGCAAGCGTATGTTGTGATGTTTTCCAGTTTCTTACAGAACTGTGTACAAAAGAAAGGTTCTCACCTGCAGGTCAGAGCACATTTGGTGCAACTAACATGGTTTAAGTTGTTGGAGCGTTATTCTTTAGAGGATTGTGCATTTAATCTCACAGGTTCTGGGCCTCAATCCAACATATGCACAGCAGCAAAGGCAGGAGAAAAACCTCCTGTTAACAAATATCAGTAAAAACACCTGTGCAGGAGCTGCCAAACCCCTGGTTGGTTACTTCTGTTCCAAAACCTCTTGCTGGTCAAAGCTGGAAGCATCCCAAGCACATAATGGTATTCCCAGCCCCAAAATCTGTGAGGTCAAGGTGGCGACAGGTTTATATTCTGCTTCCTTTCCCCACTGACTCCTGACTTCAAACCAGAGAAAGGGTCATCGGTTCCCCACAAATCTCAGCCTCCTTTAAGCACAGCAACAACAATGTGTTCACACTGTGGTCTTGGGCTCCTCTCATCATAAGGATTTTTCTTTTTCTTTTTATCCAACAGACATTTACTCCCATGGCTGCAGTTTGGGCAAAGGACAAGCTAGGCATCCCACAGCAGACACACAGGAAGCCCACTGGGCTGGCAGCAGGGTTTCAAATCCACACTGTTCTTTCACTGCTATCAGACACAGCTTAAAGGCCCAGCACTGAGCTGGTTTCCACAAACTACAGCAAAACAGTCCCCATTAATACCAACCCTTGCTCCTGCACACCAAGTGTTTAGAAGTCCACGATCTTTGAGATTATTCTGACTTTCCCTTTTTACAGTGTGCTATAAAGTTAAGCATTATTTAAACACAAAGTTAAGCTGTTACTGGAAGATACCCATCACATGCTGGACCCCATGGTAAACATCTGAGCTGAACCATGGCAAGGGTGTCGATTAAAGACTTTATTAGCATTCAGGGTAATCTCATAACCCGTTTGCTGAGTTGACAGATGAAAATATTTCCCTTGAAAGTCTACTACAGACTGTTTACTGCCTTCAATATTGCTAAACTGTCACACAATTCCTGCCTGATGAGAGGAATATAAAGATACTGCATTTCTTATAGATACCAAGAATTAATCCCATGTTAATAACATAGACTTATGAGCCAGGTCTGTACATATCTGAAGATTCAGCCTCTTGCCCTCAGAAATCTCCCTTCAATAGGAGTTATTCAGCTGTCTCTTACAGATGCTTAAAGACAGATCCAGAGACAATGAACAGGATCTGGATCTAAGATCTGAGGATCTAATCCTGATTATGTGTAGGAACTTCATTCTGCAAGAGGCAGTTCTGTTTGAAGGATATTGGGCCAAGAGACAACAAGATCTTTGTGATGTATTTGTGCAAAATCTACAGTCTCTGAGATGCAACTGGAAAGAGGAAAGGAGGCAGCTCAGAGCAGAACAGCCTGTACCAGTGTGCAAGGCCAGGTCTCAGCTCTGATTTTAAGAATGCTGAGCTTTTCTTCTTGTCAGTGCTATGAGGGCTCTGCAACCCTAATCAAGCCATAAATGATTACAGTAAGAGCCATGTGGGGAATAATCAGAGACTGGACTTAGGCACAAGTAATTACTGCTAAGTTTTTGAGCACTGGCAATGTTTTTTGATCCCATATCAACCCAAATGTTCTTACTCTGACTCTTCCTCTTTTTGTTCCTTCAGGTTCTCAAGCAGAGATTCCTCCAGGACTTCCAGATCTTCCAAGGGAATTCTCAGCAGCCAGCTGACACGACAGATCAACACCCTGGCTCGAGCATCATAGGATCCTTGAAGAGAGAAAAGCCCAGGAAATCAGTCTGACCAGTCTGATGACACAGTTCAGTTAAGGAGCAGAGTACTCAAGGAACGTGTCACAGAGCAGCTCCTTCCCCCAGGCCCTCTTTTTCTTCCAGGAACACGAGAAGAGACTGATAAATGGAAAATCCTTCTTCCCTGCAAACAGAGCCACCACACCAGGTAATTCCTCTGTGGCAGGAAAAAGATCTCAGATCCTTTGGTCTCCATCCTCTGTGGAAGAGGCCTGCTGGCAACTTTTCAACAGAGAAATGATGCAGCAGGACCACTGCTTACTGGAAATATCAAACATGTCTGTGTGGGTAACTGGGCACAGCCCACTCCAACTGCACCAGTGCAGGAAGGTGGCATTTTGTAAGAATGCATTTCCATGCAAAAGCTTTGTCTTCTTTGGTGGCAGCAAGAGGCACTCAGGAGTGTAAAGCTACACACTAGCTCCCCCAGCAGCACCACAGACAAATGTTTGCTTTTACACTCCCTGCTGGAGATGCAGGAGTGGACAGTGCACTCAGACAACAGCAGACAACAGAAGTGAATACTCCTGGTTTTGTAAGCATGTGTTTTTCAAGAAAAGACATCTTAGAAGAAAAGGCATCCTAAATGTAATAGACTTTAAATAATTTGTGCCAATTCTTGGTTTTTTAATATGTTTCTCTCAGCAGCACCTACTACTTCCTGATGTTTGGCTTTTATAAAGGGTTCTCGGTGCACTCTGGGATGAAAAACACAGTTGTTTTTCTCAAGGTGGGTGAAGATATCAGCAAGATCCAATTACAAAGAATGTTTGTGATACCCGCTGCACGTAGATCAACTATGGCAATCTATTAAGATTATTTATTACCATCATTACCAAGATACCAAACTAATTCCACAGCCTTAAATGACACCCTTGATCAGGTTTATGCGTAGTTGAGAAATGAGGACAGGATTTATCTTCACTCCTTCCCGAAATGTGGCACGTCCTGCAAGTCCAGGCAGGTGGAATGAGCCCCCTTCTTTTTTCTGTCTGCTGACACTGCTGGGCTCCTTCCTCACCAGCCTGGTGGGAAGGCAGTGAGGCTTGGAAAGAGATTTCTCCTAAATTCCAGCTTCACAAAATAAGCAGTTTTGCAATAGCTGACTTGTCAATTGTCCATTAAAAATAAAGCAAGAACAAAACTTGTTTTGTTCTGCAGTGCAACAGGCTATCAGCAACCAGTGAGTTCTTTCCTGTGAGAACATGTTAAAACACAGAGATTTAAAAAATGCAAGTAGTGATAGAATCCAGGCTTCTTTTAGAAATGAACATTCTGTTCAGCAGACAGTCTTTATTTCATTAATTTTATCAGACTAATCCATGTAATGGATTGCAAGCCAGAGAATGTTTTATGTGTAATATAATATATGAGGAAAATCACATTTATTTATAATGGGCTTCACAGGACACTCTGGAATTTATATCCTGATATATTTTTTTTTTCTTTTAGGCAACCAGCAGAAAATATTTTAGGCTGAGATTTTCATAATAGCTTTACTGCCTTCCTAAAGGAAGAGATCACCTGATTCCCTGGAAACACTGGAGCAAAATCACCCCACTCCACCACATTTACATCTGCTTGGCAATGTGTGATGTGTGAAGGTAAGGAGGTGAAGAGCTGTTCAATTTTCAGTGGGTATTATTAACCATTCCTAAAAGAAGAGTTGTTTTTCCTGAAGGGGATGCAGTGAAGGAGTGTGCAGCTTTTGCCAGAGAGGAAGCTGAGATTAAATAGGATAGTACCTTTCTGAACACTTCAAAGTATCACATGTAAACTCAAATATATTATTTTTACAAAGAAAAAGTAAACTTACCATCTTGAAGAGAGAATGATAAAAGGTCCTAAAGAGAAAAAAAAAAACAAAACCTCAATTTAAAATTGATGATGTAGGTCTGGAGGGATCAAAATGGAGGCATAAAACCCATCAGACTGAATTACTGCAGCAGCTCAGTTCATAAGAGGGGAGCAGAAAGTTACAATTCAGTGAGGCAGCACAGAGCAAAACCAGTCTAAAATTCTCTGAAGGCCAATACAAAGGGCTGGACAAAAGCAGATAATGCTTGGTATATGCTGAGGCATCCCACATTTTTTTGTTATTTTGTTATGATCCTGATCTTACACCAGACTTCAAAGTTTGGAGGAGCAGGGCTCTAATCCTCCCACTCTAATGCCTTCTGCTCCCTACAGTCACATATGCAACATCACTAACAGGTTTGAATGTTCCTCTAATGGCCCCTATTTTCTTTGGCATTCTGGGAATTCACAGCTTCAGGCAGTAAGGCTGAACTGGCATGAAGTTCTTTTGGATTAAGTGAGTTAAAAAACTCAGAATTTATGGCCATCTGTCAAGATTGAGGGACTTGCCTTCTGTGTTGGCTTTTTACCATAAAAACTGGAAAAACAAATCAATAGATGGTTTCTATGGATAAATCCATGAAAAAGAGGCCAGTGTTTTTACAACTGTGTTCTCCTATTTTATTGCCACTGGACAAATTCTAAGCTCTTTATGTGACTACATTAACTACCAGCTCAGTTGAGCCGCTTCCCTCTCCTACACACAAATACAGCACAGCTGAATTTTACACAGAATCCTTTCAGCCCTCTGGGAACACAAAAAATGCAGCCAAAGATGTAGAAGGCTGCCAAGGAGTTTATGATTATTAGTCCTGTAAGCTCCCAAGCAGTTTGTATAGTAAAAACGTCTCTAACCTGAGAGTCCTACACATGAGAAGTGCAGAATGCAGAACAAACCACCCTGAACCAACCAGAAGAGGGACAAACTGCAGACTGCTCCCCAGGCTGGCTGGTGGGGTGTGGGAATTGGAGACACCAGTACAGAGGGAGGGATGTAACTGGTTTCCCAAAGGCGGAGTACTGGGAGTGCCCAGGGATCAACTATGTGGGCACCCTCAGCTCCTCATGGGTTCCTTTCTGGGGGAAGAGTCGGCACAGAGGTGTCAAAGCCCAGCAGAAGGTGTAGGGCTGGGAGCCTTGAGCAAAAAGCTGACCAAGCAAAGGGCCTCAAGTCTAGAATAAGGTGAAGCTTGTGACCTTGTTGCCACAATTCTCCGTAGACTGCCATGAGCAGCCTCTGGAAGAGGTGATGGTTTGTGGGCAATAAACTCTCCCTGAGTGAGGCTCAGGGAGCTGGGGCTGTGACTGATGTCCTGTCCTCTCAGCCCAGTATCACCTATGGCACCTCATATCAAACCACCCCAAATAAATCTGGCCTAAGCATGTACACACGTGCCTTTCAAAAGGTCAGGGATGCAGGTAGGTAAACAGAAGATAAATTATAACAACTGTTTTTATGGCATCCGTGTCAGTTAGCACACTCAAATTTAGGCTGCAGTTTAGGCTGTGCACATACTGCACATGCAGGCAGCTGGAATCCAACCAGCAGTGATTAGATTAGTTCACAACTGGTTTGTTTTCCTCCCTAAGCAGCAGTTGTTATATTGCAGCCTTATTCTGAAGTCAGTGTTTTGAATCTCCATGAAAATCCCGTGACAAGACAACCACCCATATGACTGAGAAGCCTCACAAAAGAAGGGAGTCTTTATTCAGTCTTTGCCAGCTTTTTCTGAGTTGATGCAAGTTCAAAACCCATTTCCTTAACAACAGAGAGCCCCAAATCCACATTACAGTGAATGTGGGTAGGAAACCACTGGAAAATAGGTATTCCAAGTATGTTGAGAGAAAAAACGTATTCATAATAAGAATTTTCAACATCTAATCAGCTATCACAGCTTCTACACCTCTTTTATTACATGGCCTTCCCATACCACACCCATAGCCTGCTATGACTACTGTCTTTAAAGGATTCAGTTACCACCATCTGCCTGTGTGTTAGTCATCTGCAATGACACAAAAGACACAAAGATAACAATCCATAATCCTCAGATGTTCACTGAATCAATGGTGAGCTCACATCTAATCTCCTGACTTCATGGATCATCTCTTCAGCTCCTTTGACACAAAGGGCCTTCAAAAATGCAGCATTAGTGCCAGTAAGGCCCTGCCACTGAACATGCTGAGCAATTAAGAAGATACTTAATAAACAGTAAATATTGCATCAGCAGCGGCTGAATACAAAGGAGCACTAGAACCATAAAGCAAAAGATCAATAATTCATAAAGCTTTGTCCCATAGCTTGTTTATTTCCAGGTAAGAAGGAAAAAGCTGTGATCTCAGCTAATCATTTATGTTTGCCACACACCAGGGTTTTTTCCAGACACACCTCTGCTGCCTTGCTCTACTCAAGACTTTCATTCTGTCTCTCCTGCGACAAAATCAATCATCTTGCCCACATGCAGATGACTGTGTAAGGGATTGCTGCTGTGGCATTAGACTGATAGTTTTTCCACATCTTTGCTTTCAACTGATCAAAGCTGTCTATGGTTTCTGTATTTCACCAAAATCCAGGGGATATCCTCAGTTTCCTGTCAGGGCAAAATCCTGTATTCTTCCACTGATCCAGAGCCACTTTTGTACAAGCACATGGAGCCCTCATGCAGCATAGGCTCGGAGCAAGCACAAGCTAAATTTCATCCTTAATAAACTCAGCAGCAACACAGGAAAACCTGCCTCAATGCAGAGAATCTATCCTGAGGCAGAGAGAATGAGGGAAACAATGCAGGAAGCATATCAAGGCAGAAAAAAATGAGTGTAGATGTACTGAACTTGAGGAAACAGCATCCAAAGAGCCACTTAGAAGATCTGCTCTAAATTATTAAGATCTCTGTTGCTGTCCTTGTATTATTGTAGGACTTTGGGCACTGGAACATTTGGACCAGGAGCAGATCCTCTGAGGCATTTTGTAGACTGGAGAGAAAAAAAGGTGGCTGAGGAAATGGGAGCCGGTCAAGGTGACCAGAGAAGTTCACTGCTCTCTTATCTCCCCTAGCACAGCCAAGTTCTCACATCTGCTGCTCTGCCAGGCCATTGCTCAAGGTGAGTGTGTGATAACCCTTAATCAGCCAATATCAGAGCACTGGGTGCACTTGGGGTGTCTGGCACAGGGTGACAGTGCTCACGTTCTGTGTGGCACCAGCAGCAGCCTAACGCTCTCTTCACCCTGCCTGGCATAACATGAGGTTGGATGAGGAGAGATCTTCCCCAGCAAAAGCAAATGTTGTCAAAATGCTTCACCTCTTTTATCTTTCCATCAGCTTTTACAGCAGAACATTATGGAGCAGTTTCACTTCCTCAGTGAAAGAAAATAGTCACAATAATTTCCTTCTGGTCAAAATGTACTCTGGGAAAAAAGACTTTGGAAATTGTGCTCCTTGGAGCATGTGTGTGGAGGTTTTTTGTGATACATATATAGTGAAGGGGCTTTCAAACAAGTGAGAATCATGTCTACTGTGCTCAGGGTGTCACTATAATCTGTACAACACATGTATGAATGGAGACCACTGCAGTAACACAATCAAAGTAAAAACTTTGTCAGTTCTCTGTTCTGTAGAGTGAAACCATCAAAGACACAACTCAGCAGACAGTGACCATGCTTCACATTCATCATTTCCATTAGGTCTTTATGGATAGACTGCCAGTCCTCCCACAGCTATTTACAAATAAATGCCTATCAGAAATATTGATTTTATTTCCCTGACTGCACAAACAGCACTTCAGCTGCAAACAGACAGATATGACAAACCTCTTTTGCAAAGCAAACGAGGGCAAGGGGAGCACACGGACTTACCTGGGTAATGAGAAGTGGATTTTCTTTCAAGATGGGGTCCTTCAGCAAAATTTCAGTGAAAGTTTCTGTGCCCTCACCTCCTAAGCCATCAGCAAAGGCTGTCATGGCAGGCAAGACAGCATCAGGCAGGTCCAGCCACTTCACAAAGCCTTTGATGAATTCTGTCCTGAAGGAGCTGTAAGGTAACAGAAGCAGTTAAGGCATCACAAGTGGGTATTTCAAGGCTCCACAACTGGGTATTTTTGGAAGGTTTGAACAGCCCTTGGTTTCAAACATCAGTTCACACAAAAATCAAAGCATCAGGAGTTAGAAGAAGGTGAATTGCTAAACAAACTGGCTAAATAAACAAGGAAACAATCTGAGTGGGACTAGACCTTGCTTCAGAACATGCTTTGATGTCTGCAGTGTTAAGGGATGTGTTTTCTGCTGAATTGTAAAAGCCTCGCAGGTGCAAGACAGAAAGGCTCTTCCACTCCCCCAACTTCAGAGGACCCCGCACAGAGTGTGATACCAGCTCTGGCTGAGCCACCACCCAAACTCCACCTGGCCTGCCCAGGCCTAGCTCCACTTGTACCTTTGCTCGTTTTCAGGGAACAGCCAGGCGAGGGATATCCCGCAAAGCGCCGCGTACGCGAATCTCCCGGCTTCAGGCAGCTGCCGGCCCGGGAGCACGCCCGGCTCCCTCTCCCCGCCGTGCTCAGCCTCCTTCTGCTGTTTCGAAGCCCAGCCTTTCCACTTCTCCGCAGCCATTTTCACCTGCAAGTTCAAGGAGGAAAAAGCAGCAGAAAAAAACCAATAGCAAACAGCTGGAAACCAGGAAGTGAGGAGACAAATTGCCTTTGTTTTTTACTGCCACACTTGCTGCTGGAATTAAGTCGGGTCTGACCAGGTCCAGCCTGTCTGTTGCCCCCAACACACTGCTGTGACCGAAGAAGACACAGGAACAGCACACAGATTAACAGTTCACCAATTCTCAAACGTTTTGCACAAAATTAGCTGACAATAAATATTTCAACCTGAAAAAGGACAAGTTCCCTTTGGGATGCAAAAGAATTGGGCGCCGTTCAGGCCTATCAGTCCCACATTTACTGCAAAAATAACATGAAAATAAAAGTCCTGCCCCTGGTGCAGGGACCAGTACAGCTGCCTGGGAAATAATTTTCCTCTCTCATCCTCAGCCCAAATTGCTCCTGTTTGTTTTGCTGACAGCATTAGGAAAGCTGAGTCCAGCTGCAGCCTCTGAGAAGGACTGTGATGTCCCCCACAGTCATTGCTGTGCTTTGCTTGTAATATTTCTCCTCTGTAAAACCTACCAATGCTCTTTCCCTAAAAATAAGATCCCTGCACCACATGGACCATGAGCTGGGCCAAGATATTATTTTTTAGAATGCAGATGTGCACACTTCCAAGTGATGGGCTTCCAGCTGCCCCCCTGATGGTGCCAGCAGCAAACTGAGACCTCAGGCAGAGGTGACAACAGCTAGCTCATTTCAAGTTCAGCCTGGATAACAACCTGGGCCAGGGCTCACTTCCATCACCTGGAATTTCTACTGATTACCTTAAGATCCAATCAGTTTCTAAGGGGCCCAAATCACCCATTTTATTTTATAGTTCAAATTAAAGTGCTTCCTTTCTTCCACACCCTGGCTAAATAGGAATTAGGAGCCCATGACACTACAAGTGACTCCCAGGGGATGCAGACCATTTATGGATCATTTCAGAGCCCTAAAAGAGAAAACTTCAACAGGAGCTGCTCTTTTAAAAGAGATTTTATTATTTGCATGCCATCTGTCATGGTCCTTTAGGAAAGGTGCCTTCCCACTCAGAAACCCTAAACATCCAAACTTCCAGACCAGTTTTCCAGGAATAATCTAATGCTAAAGTTTCAATAATTTTACAATTATTTGTCATGTCTGCTTACCTCTGTATACATTATGGGAGACAGCACTGAAAATAAAACTCCCTTCCCTGACAGATGTATTGATTTCTTAACTTGGCCTCATATGAAAAGTGTAGCAGCTAAAACAGATCCATGAGCAGTACAACTGTTTAACCTAATTTCCTAATAACATAAAATATGGAGCAATAATGGAGCAACACCACAATGGCTCCTGGCATGCAACAAATCATTCAGAGTGCTGAGTAGCTAAAATACCCAGAGAAAGTTTCTGAAAGGCTTTGCTCTGAAGATGATCAATGTACTTCCCTCTACACAGGTATCTTTTTCCTTATAAACATGTAGGAAATAATAGGCTTGGAATTTTTAGACATACAGCTTTAAAAAAGGGCAATGTATGATTTACTAAAGAAAACTTGGGCCAAGAAGTTTTGCCACAAATCCAAGATGAGGGAATTGAGAGTTAGAAACATATTCCAGAAGTTATTTATTCCAAAAGCTTTTAAGTCTCATGGCGCTGGAATTCCTATCCCTATCTCGAACAATGTAGTTCAGCAATCAACAGCATTGCCATAATCTGAAATGTCGCTTGAAAGAATTTTTTATCACTTCCAGCTCTCATTTTTCAAATAAAGCTCTTTGTTTTCTTGAGAAATTATGTATTTTGTACAGCAGATAACACAATCCTCTTTGGAAAGCAGAAAGATTATTCCTTTGGGCTCTAAAGCTGTATGATACACGTGCTCCCTGCAGCTGAAAGAGGAAATAGAGATAGGCTGGCATCGTGTTTGTACTAAACTGTGACAAAGGCAACCAAACCATCATCTCCACAACCTCCCAAAGTTAATGAGGCATTTCATTAACTTCACAGGAGCGGTCGTAGGTAATTATTGAGACGGGGCTGGCCAAAGAGCTCCGTGTAAGGCACAGTGGGGAAAGCACAGCCCAGCCGTGGTTACACATCACACACAACGCTGTGCCTGTGGAAACATTTGGGCAAAAGAGATTTTTTGGGTACCTGCACATGACTCCAGAGGTGCTGGAAGCATCACAGCCTCTGCTTTTAATCTGTAGATATGAGGTATAAACAAGAAATGCCACTAATTCAGTTCTGTCTCCATAGAAGAACACACAAATATGTTATGGATGGGCACAGGGATCAGAGCTCGAGGGGACAGGGACACGGAGAAGCCCAAAGCAGAAGTAGTTAGAAAAGTGAGCGTGTTTAATTCAGTTAAGGTTTGCATCCTAAGGATGTGCACAGTGCACAGCAACGGCTGAGAAGCGATGTCCTCACAGTGAAGCGAGCAAAGCTGCGGAGAGGGAACAGCACATCGAGAAGCGTGAAGGCAGCACCTCAGCTGGGGAAGCTGTGAGGGCGGACACCGCCACAGCTGCCCGTGGTCACATTTACCACAAGTCCTTCACGTCTGAAGTCTCTGCTGATCCAACACAGCACTCGTTTACGGAAAGCGGCGCTTCGGGCCACGCTGAGGGGAGGGAAGCAGCGGCCAGAACAAGGGAGCGGCCTGAGGGGACGGTCCCGCCCGCTCGCCCCTCAGCCCGCGGCGCTGCCCCCGCCCAGCCCCTCTCCCACCCGCCCGGCCCGGCCCCGACCTGCCGCCGACCCGGCCGAGTCCCGAGCACCGGGAACCGAGCACCGGGAACCGAGCACCGACTACCGCCGCCAGCGCCCGCCCCTTCCTGCCCGGGCCGGGCTGGCCGCCGGCACTGCGCCATCGGCGCTGCCGAGTGCGTTGGGAGGGCGGGAGCGACGCTGGGCTGAGGGGATGGAGGGCACTGAGGGATCACAGAATATTCTGAACTGGAGGGGACCGTAGTGGTCATGGAATCCAACTCCTGAAGTGAATGGCCCATAGAAGGGATCAAACCCACGATCTCGGTGTTGTCAGTACCATGCTCCAACCAACGGAGCTGACCCCGGGATCACCTGAGGGCATGGTGAGGGATGAGGGGGTGGTGAGGGATGAGGTGATGCTGCCTAGCCCCATTTTTCATTATAATTCCCTCTCTCAGGCCACAGTGCATTACCCAGTCCCTCTATGAAATCAGGAGCTAGCCAGGTAAGGTAAGCAGGGCATGGGACTTCAGAGGTGAATCTTTCTTAACAAAATGACCGGCATGAATTAAACTTGAGTACAAGCAAATCCTCTACATTTTGAAATAGGAATATAATCCCATTAGCCTTTTCTCTATAAACTTAATTGCCGCTTCAAAGTCTTGCATGGTTATTGAGCCTAATTATCTTGTCAGATGGGAATCTGTTCAAAAGATAGCAGGTTCCAGAGCCTCATGGCTGCCACCAGCATGGGTGAGCTCTGAATCACCTGGCTGTTAGTGGCTCTCAGGCTGGAAAACATTTCAGTGCAACTGCTGAAGGAAAACTTGGAAGGTGCTGCTCTATAACTCTGTGGATCCATAAGGATTCTTTCAGAGGGCCAGTCTTGCCCTGGAAATCAAACTTTTGTATGCTGTCTTTTTTTTTTCTTTTTTTTTTTTTTTGGGCTCTGTAGAAAGTAGTGTAGTGAAACAAATGTTTTGGAAGGGCAGGGTGAAGCATAATAACAGATTTCACTGGTCATGTTCATTCTGCTTTGATTTCTTTACATCCATGTGCTGAAAACATACACGGGCTTACAGGATCCCTTGTGAGTGATCTGTTCAGGCCAATATTAATTCATTTGCTACAGACCTTTACAGTACCAGTCACCCACTGGTGTTGGTGAAGGGAACTCGACAACAATATTGTCTGTGAGCTTTAAGACTTGCCCAGTGTTTCTGAAATTATTTTCAGTGCAGCTAAATATCTGGTCCACTCTTCTATATTTGGAATAATACAGTATTTGGGTTTAAAACTACCTGCCTTTTTTCCCAGCTGGAAAGCTTTTTTTTTCTGGTTGGTTATTAGCAAATGTCATATGTATTCAGCAGTAAGCCTGTTGCTGTCCAAAGAGATGAGAATATCCAAAGGATTTATATCCCCTGAAGGCTCCCATTCCTGGCAGAAAACAAAACTGTGTTTTCCAAGACTTTGGCTGCACAAGAGCTCCTACCCTCTTAGTCTAATCTGTTTTATCTGCTGTGAGACACTCTGTGTATTTATATACTGAGCAACTGCAGGACATCAGTTTCCATTCTTATCAAACACAAATATTTACCTGATCCAAGGTCTCCTGAGATCCTTGACACTCTTAAACATGCAGTTTAACCAGAGAAATCTATTTTTTCCCTCAGTTTAATTTTAGTTGGGTTTCAGGGTATTTTCTTAGCAACTAAGTATTTTTTCAAATGAAGGAACACTCCAACACTTTACTGCTTTGCTTTACTCACCACCTCAGCTCTGCAGACTCCCTAATACACTTTCTCAGTTACAATTCCTGTCAATAAGGAAACTAGGAATTGTTTTGACATTAATTGTCAATGAAGAATTGAAACAAAGAAGTCAATGAGCAATTCATATTATTTAAATTTAATGGAGACATTCCATTTTAAAATATCACACATGGTGTGGCGCAGTCAAGAGATTTCTGTTTACCTCTGTGAGCATCTTCAAGGGCAATGCAAAGGGGGCAAGAAGAGAGGTCCTGCAGGTTGCCAGATAAAGGAATACAGGTGAGAGGAACTATTTCAGTGCTAAATAATGTGGGGAATTTGGAGGGTCATGAGGTTTTTGAGCCTTGCCCTTTGCAAGCTACAAACCAAGATCAGGAATGTTGATTTTGCCTCTTCCTTTCCAATTTTGTGTGTAACTTCAAATGACATCAACTGACATCCCCTTTTCCCATCCCTGCCAGGGATTGAGGTGATAATCTGGGTTAAAAAAACTCTCTTCCAAACACCCGCTCCCTGATTTAGCAGCCTTATTTCCCACTCTGTCCCAAGAAAAGATGTCCGTGTTTTCAGAGTGGGAACCACAACCGTGGCGTTTTGCAGGACATCACCTCCCAGATGTTCCACATAACATCCTGCAGAGCTGATCAGGAGGGGACACAGACATGAACAAAATGGCAAAAGCAAACCAACACAATTACAAAAAAAAAAAAAAAAAAGTGTGAAAACACATAAATATCAACATATAAATAGTTAATTTTGTTTGCAGTAATGAGATTTAACAACAGTATGCATTGGCATTGAGCCAGCTCAGCCAACTATTGAATTTATTCTCCGGGAGATTGTTTTTAAGTCCAAAACTCACTGGTGTGCCCAGCATGCACCTTGGCCCAGTCCCCGATCTCTGGAACAGACACATTAATTGTTTCAGGCAACAGTAACAACGTGGATCTCCTTGTCACAGGAGGCAGGGGAGTCCTTCTTGCACCTGCAGTGGAATTTAGGAGTGCAGCAAAGCACCATAGACATGAGCAACCCCAAAGTAAGCAGGAGACAAATTACCCACTTCACCCTCCCTGAGTACATAAAGGGGAGGATGAGCATGGCGAGGATCACCCCCAGCAGCAGGAGCAGCAGGAGTCTCTGCACAGCCAGGCTGCTGTGTGCTGGGCCGGTTTCCCCCGTGTTCAAGATGTCTTGGCTGCTCTGAGTCCAGCTGTTGCCATCCAGCCCCATGGCACAGACGTACACCTCAGGGTTTGAATCGAGGTTCTCCAAGCGCTCCAGGACGTCTTCTTTATTCTGGAGTGTGCGGATGAGCCCTCCTGACACAAAGGTGGGCTTTCTGCAGAGAGGGCAGGAGATTGTCCAGGTGTTCTCCTCTTTCCTGAGGATCAGCTTGAGGCAGACAGCGCAGAAGGTGTGCTGGCAGTCCAGGAGCTTTGGGACTCTGTAGATGCTGTACTTGTTGAAGCAGATCATGCAGTCCATGTCCAGGGTGGCTGTGTCTGAGCACTGGTGGTTCAGTTCCAACGTGCTCATTTCGGGAGAGTTTGTGTCCGTTAGCACAGCGAGCGGCCTTGAGTTTGGAGAGTCTCGCTCCAAAACTGCTGGTTTAAAGGCAGCAGGACTGTCTCTCTCGGTCCCTGAAGGTCTCTCCATTTCTTCAGTACACTCTTCAGTGAATCCCACTCTCTTCTCATGAGTTGAGTTTTGTGTTACGGATCCTGCTCTGCTCATTTCTGCAGCACCTCCTGCCACGGGCGCTGGACTGTCTGCCTCAGCCTGCAGTACTCCAGGAGCTGACGATCTGTTTTCCTTGTTTGGCTTGTCAGTGGATTTCTCCATGGAGATAAACCTCGGTGCAGCTTGTCTCCCCTTAGCTGAAGGATTTCCTGAGTCTCTGGCTCCTTTTATGTGTTGCTGTATTCCTGCTGTATGCCTGATTGATTAGTGAGAGCCTTAAGCGAGTCATGCTCTTACAATATGATGTTTTTATGACATGGGGACCAGAGTTAATGATTGACTTCCCAGCCAAGACAGTTTACAATGACTGATAATATCAGTGGGCAATTCCTGTCCGGAAGCAGACTCCATGGCATTAGCAGACCACTGTGACAGCCAGACACTATTATTAAATTAGAACTCTCTTAGATGAAAGCAATTTCATTGTTCTCCAAACAGTGCTCTGCTAGACAGTCACAGGCTTGGGGAATTACCTGATTCTGACACTGGTGTGTTGAATGCAGTGCTTTGATTAAAGCATATGTATCACCAGTTTTGGGCTCTCTGGGTAGGAAGCTTGCTCTTGGTTTAGAAACACTTACTATCTGACAACATCAAGTGAAGAATGAGATTGAAATAATTAATTTGACTGTTGAATGTCCAATTGTTATTAGCTCTTTTATCCTAGGGTATCTCTTTTTTCAGCCTCCTGTTTGTTTTAGTCATCAGAAGGTTTCCAGTACAAACTGAAGCATGACTGAGGCCCACACAGGGTCTCTCAGAGTCCACGAAAGAGATCAGAAAACTAAAAGCAAGACCAGTGTCCTAGGTGGTGGGACAATCTTCTTTCCTGTGGTGTTCACCAAACAACCTTGTGCACTTGGGAATGCCCTTCCTGACTGATTTTGTGAATATTCATCTCAACTGAAAAAAAATGCCTGAACAAAATCCCTCAGTCTCTAATTTCTTTCTGCCATTTTATTTGAGCAGTAAAATACAGATAGTTTCTTAGCAAGAATCCCATGGAAGGAAGGAATGAAAGAAAGAAGGGAAGGATCACTAATCCCAAAAAGCAGATGAGGTCAGTGTTACCAGCAGAATACACGCAGTACCACACTGGTAGCCTCATGTGCACCTGAATGCTCACACTGCCTGTGCACCCAAGCCCCATCCCCTCCCTCCCAGAAAGGAGCAGCAGAAAGAAATGAAACAACTGCAGATGAGGAGGGCAAGGAGTTCAGGAAGGCTCTAATCTCATGAACTCGCTGGAGAGGGATGAGGTGAGAAGAACTTGTTCTTATTTGCTGAGAACTAGAAGGTTTGTCGTAAGCAAACTTCGTCAAAGTGCCTGAGCACTGCTGTGTTTCTGCTGATGTGGCATGTTGTGGTGCTTGATGGACTTTTGGATGACCCCAAATTTTAGAAGCCTGAGTATCTCTCAGTTGCAGAAGTTGGTATCAAAGTGCAGGAATGTCTGGAAGTAGGCTGGTGAACTGCAAGACTCATTTATCTTTCTAAAAAGAAAATTTTCTTTTGCATTTCATATAACTCTTTGTCAGCAAGCTCATGCTGTTAAAAAGATCTGGGAAAGTAGAAAACAGACTTACCACTATTACAATAGTTTAGAAGCTTAAAATTTGCTGTGTCAGTTCCCACGTCCAAAATGGAAATGTCTTAAAATCTCCTGATTTATAATTACTAGAACATTATAAAAACACCTTGCAGATGTCAGAAGTTGGAACAGACACCAAGAGGGACAACTACACTCCCAACATAAAAAGTTTAGAACTAGTTGGGATAAATCTATGCTCCATGTCTATCTGCCCTGTGTTCTACCAGTGGGTGGGGGTGACTTGTCTGTCTTTTGTGCTGGAAAAATGGTTTTTTTCTTGTCCTCCACTGACAAAGTTTTCAGCCAAGCCCTGATTCCGGCTCCTCTTTGTCTCTGGTGTCACGAGTGATGCTCCCAGGCTGGCATGTGCCTTGTGCTTATCTGAATTGCTCACAGCCCATTAACGCTCCTCTGGCTAATTACTGCCTCATTAATCATTTGCAGTAAGTTTATGTACTCATACTGTTTTCCCTCTTTTAGTGTGTTTGCATAATAAAATGTGTTTCTAGAAATGCTTTATGTGGAATTGTTTATAGCAGGAAATAGATATAAAAGAGCAGTTGTGTCATTCCTAGTAAAATCCTCATGTGCCACAAGCCAAACATCCCAGAAGATCCTGGGGATACTCCCGTGAGCTTCTCCCTGTGCTGAGCTGTGGTTCAGGCCGTCCTGACTCTGGGCAAGAGGAACAGAAAAATGACACACACCTTAAAAATCCCTGTGAAGCCTCTTCTTGTATTCCTGGGACTGTTCTGTTGGTGTTCCTCACAAAGCTCTTTGGATGCGCCCTCCGAACGAGGAATTGGAAATTCATAGAATCCCAGACTGGTTTGGGCTGGAAAGAACCTTAAAGCCCATCCAGTGCCCCCTCCCCTGCCATGGCAGGGACACCTTCCACTGTTCCAGGCTGCTCCAAGCCCTGTCCAGCCTGGCCCTGGACACTTCCAGTGATCCAGGGGCAGCCACAGCTGCTCTGGACAACCTGTGTCTCCCCACCCTCACAGGGAAGGATTTCTTCCCAAAATCCCATCTATTTCTGCTCTCTGGCAGTGGAAGCCATTCCCCCTTGCCCTGGCACTCCAGGCCTTTGTCCACAGTTTCTCTCCATCTTTCTTGTCAGCTCCCAGATGAGAAAGGTACTGAAAAGCTGCAGTTGGGTCACTCTGGAGCCTTCTTTTCTCCAAACTGAACAATCCCAATTCTCCCAGCCGTCCCTCATGGGAGAGGTGCCCTCTGCTCATCTCGGTCTCCTGTGGACTCGATGTGCAGCAGTTCTGACACCATCGGCAGTTTCTGTCACGATACCAGCAGAGAAAACCAGAGTCAGTGCACAGCGATGCCCTGGGGGCTGCTCCTGCTGGGTGATTCCTTGAGCCGGTTCCTGTGGGACAAGTGGAAGAGCCAAAGAGCAGAAGGATGACAGGAAATCCTCGCCAAGAGCCCTGCTCCAGACAAATCACCCATCCTGCTGTGCCCCTTTTCCAGCATCTTGCGAGGCGTCTCCCTCAGTGTTAGAGGAGGCAAGATGCGGAGGTTCCGTTTATTGCACTTATCACATTTAATTAATTAATCATTGCTGTCTCGGCTCCGCTCCTGCCCTGCCGCTGCTGTCAGCCCTGTTCTCCTGGTGCCACCTCGCGGGTAGTCCATCTGCTCATCTCCCTGCTTGCTGCGAGTTCATTTTGCCTCGCTGATGTGGGGCTGAGCAGCGCTGATCTGGGGTGAGGAGTGCTGATCTGGGGCTGAGCAGCGCTGATCTGGGGTGAGGAGTGCTGATCTGGGGCTGAGCAGCGCTGATCTGGGGCTGAGCAGCGCTGATCTGGGGCTGAGCAGCGCTGATCTGGGGTGAGCAGCGCTGATCTGGGGCTGAGCAGCGGTGGTTTGGGGTGAGCAGCGCTGATGTGGGGCTGAGCAGCGGTGGTTTGGGGTGAGCAGCGCTGATGTGGGGCTGAGCAGCGGTGGTTTGGGGTGAGCAGCGCTGATCTGGGGCTGAGCACACGCGGTCTGGGGCGGGGTGACCCGGTGCAGAGCGGCAGCAGAAAGCGCCCACCCGTGAGGTCTAGGCCGGGAGCTGTGCTGGGCAGCAGGGAAGTGCTCTCCGGCGGAGGGAGTGCAATTGGTAGCAGAGGCCAATTAGCCGGATCCGGCAGCTTTTGGTACAACATCGGTGATTGTGGCGCTGCTTTCCGCAGCCTCCCCAGCCCTTCCCCGCGGACACTCCGCTCCCGGAGCTTGGCTGCGCCGTCCTTCCCTGCGCCACTCCCTCTTTTCCATCCGCAGCCTCAGTTTCCCCGCGAGACCCCCCTGTGCCCTCTCGCTCTCGCCCTCTCCCTCTCTCCCTTCCCCTTCCTCTTCCTCTTCCTCCTCCTCCTCCTCCTCGAGGATCCGCGGGCGGGCGGGCGCTCACGTGACCCCATCCCGGTGCGCGGTCACGTGACGGCCCGGTGCGGCAGGCGCGGCGGCCCCGGCGGGATGTCCCGCAAACAGGCGGGCAAGGCCCGGCCCGCCGCCGCCGCCGCCAAGAAGGGCCGGCGGCCCCGACATTCCCCCGCCGGACCGGCCCCGGGCCCCGCTCCGGGCGGCAGCGGCGGCCTCGCCAGGCAGCTCCGGGCCCTCGGCCTCAAGCTGCGGGAGGTGCCGGGAGATGGGTGAGCGCCGCGACGGGTGACCCCAGCAACCCCGGGGATTCTCCGGACATCCAGCCCTGAAGGCTGAGGGCTTCCTCCTCCCCGGGTGGTGTGAGCCCGTGTCCCGGGGGCCGAGGATTGTCCCCTCCCGGCTGAGTGGGCCCTGCCCGCCGCAGGGGTGAGGGTTTCCCCGCTGTGCCCCTCAGGGATCTCCGCTGCTCTCTGCGTGCTGTGGGGCCCGACGGCTCGGCCCGTCCCAGCCCTGGTGCCCGGGGGCCCGCGGGCTCCGGTGTCCAGCGGAACTGAGCATAGGAAGGTCCATAAGTGTTCTTAAGGAATACTTTCACCCCCTTCTTTTCTAGAAGGTGAAAAGGTAATAAACGTTCCTGCTGAGAAGTTGCTCAGTGGGGCATTTGCTTGTCCGTCGTTGCTTTGTGTCCCGTGTCAGTGTGGGACAGTTTGGCCCAGCAGTTTGACCATGACACGATCACTCAGACCCAGCCGTTCAAGGCCCAGGGAACGAGCGCTCCTCTGCATCCACAGCCTTGCTGAACTGGGCACAATGAGCACAGCCCCTTTCCCTGTGAGCTGTATTCCTCCTGCTGCCTCGGACACACCCACTCCTCCTTTCCCTCCGCAGGAACTGCTTGTTCCGGGCCCTGGGGGACCAGCTGGAGGGGCACTCCCGGAACCACCTGCGGCACCGCCAGGAGACCGTGCAGTTCATGGTGAGGCAGCGGGGGGACTTCGAGCCCTTCGTGGAGGATGATGTGCCCTTTGACAAACATGGTATGTGCTCCAGGGGATCACTGTGGGAGGCATCACTTGTGTCGTGCATCTCCTTAGAGCAGCTTCTTACTAACCAGTTCCTCATCCCAGAGCTACCTTGGGGCTCCTCTCTACTTTTTAGAATCAGGGACTTTGCATTTATGGCTGTTGTCATGCTGTGGGAAGGTGAGCTGTTTAATCTGCGTTGAATTTGTCCCAGACATTATTTACATTTGGGAGAAACTTGGAGAAGGAAAGAAGACAAAAAAGGCAAGGAGTAAAAATTAGGTGTTTTCAAAAGGAACTTAAGAAAAATTGTTTCATTCTTCTTGAGTACTGGTGGGTATTTGGCTGTTCCAGTAAGTGGCTGATTTCTTTGGGTTTCTTTCTCCTTGACACTCAGTATTTCCTCCTAGGAAGCGAGGGGAAGATCCAAACCAGAGACAAATACAGCCTTTGATGTGCCAGGTACCATGGAGATGATGCATGAAGGTAGTTTGGTCATGCAGTACATGGCACTCCTCCTTCTGAGCTAACAGAGCCAGTGGCCTTGCTTTGTTTAAGGGTGTAGTGCCTTTTTTAGAGATTTCTGTGGTCCTTAAAATACATTACCTCATGTTGCAGCCAAATTCTTGTTTCACAGGTGGGATTTCCCTTCCAGAATTTCTTGGGCTCGTGTTGAAATCTCACCCCTTGTTATCCCTCCACTGCTTTTGGAAGTATCAGAAATTAGGTTTCAATTCTTGTGAATCCTTTTTCCTTTAGTTGCCAATTTGGCCAAGCCTGGTACTTTTGCTGGCAATGATGCTATTGTGGCCTTTGCAAGGAACAATCAAATGAATGTGGTTATTCATCAGCTCAACACTCCACTGTGGCAGGTGAGACACAAAGCTTCTACATTTTTGCCTAATTTTTACCTGGAGGATATAAATACTGTGGAAAATTCCTGATTTATTAAAAAAGAGCAGTAGCTGCAATGTACTGGGCATGGTGCAGAGCTGTGCTTGGTTTTTGAAGAGGGGGAACACTTGAGATTTTGGCTAGGAGATGGGTATGTGGGGGCAGAGCAATGTGTTTTACTTGGGTTTTAAGCTATGACCTTCAGTGCCATGTTCTGTCTCCTGAAGGTCATACTGCATTTGAGCTGAGTTTTCTGATAGGAATCCCAAAATGGGTTGGGTTGGAGGGGATCACACTGGATCATCTGGTCCTGTCTCCCAGCCCCTGATCCCTCAGCCTTTCCTGGGCAGAGAGATGCTCCAGGCCCTTCCTGATCTCTGCAGCCTTCACTGGCCCTGCCCCAGGAGCCCAGGGCTGGACACAGCACTCAGGTGTGCCTCCCCAGGGGCAGCGGCACTCCCTGACCTGCTGCCAGTGCTCCTCCCAGTGCACCCCAGGGCCTCTTGGCCCCCAGGACACTCTGCTGGCTCTGGGACAGCTCATTGACCATGGCACACCCAGGTCCTTCCTGCAGAGATGCTCCAGCAGGTCACCCCCACCTGTGCTGGTACTTGGGGCTGCTCCTCCCCAGGGGCAGGACCTGCATTGCCCTTGTTGAACTTCAGGTGGTTCTTCCCTGCCCATCTGGTGAGTTTTTCTGAAGGGCTGCACAGGCCCTGGAGTTTGAGCTAGGCTTAAGGAAACCTGTACAATAAGATTCAGGAAGGTGGAAATGAAGGTATAGCACTGTGTTGGAGTGAAGCTCCATCAATTCTGTGTTGGATGTGGAATGCCCAGGTTTCTGACAGATAGAGAAACGAGGTTTTAAACACATTTTAAAATCTTAAAGTGGTGTTTAATCAGCTCCTGGAAAGAATAGTGTGGTGTGGTTTCCTCTGACAGAGGGGCACTGAAACAAGAAATCCATCAGGTCCCTTGTTTTCTCTTTATTGTTGTTTTTCCATGGCAAGTGGAATGGGTCCATGCTCAGTCAGCCTGGTCATTGAGCAAGTGAGAACCTGTATTTGAGTCAGGATTGTTTCTGGCCTCTATTTACAGACAGAACCAATGAAGTGTATAGATTAAACAGGGCAATAAAGATAAAAAACCAGATGAAAGCTGTCAGTAACGTCTTAAATACATTTAAAACAGCCTCACGTGGATTCCTGAACTCAAACAAGTTTAAAATCTCATTTATAGGCAGCCGTGGGCAGAGGGACATGTGGGTGAAGTACCTGCAGGGGAGGTCATAGGGGTGGTTTTCATGTGCTGTTCCTCAGTGTTATAACTTACTGAGATTTGGACATCCTTGATTCTTTCATCTCTCAGTGACCGTGCCAGGGTGTCAGTGCAGGGTTTGTGATGAGGTTCTGCCTTGCCTGAGCAGTGCTGTTAGTGAAGGGCTGTCTCAGGCCCTTGAGAATGGTGTGAGTTAGCAGAACTGTGAGTAGTTGTACCATCATGGAAAGCTCTTTGCAGGTGGACATCTCTGCATGGGATTTTTTGGTCTTTGATTACCCCTTTTTTGATAGTGAATGTAAATTATAGAATTGTTAAAGTTGTTTTTTGGTCTTTGATTACCCCTTAACTTTTTTGATAGTGAATGTAAATTATAGACTTGTTGGAAAAGACCTTTAAAATCATGTAGTCCAACTGTAGACTCAAGTTAGCTGAGATGTGTAGGTTATTTATTGCCTTTTTGGATAACAGGCTGGTTTTTTTCCCCTCTGTTTTTAATCTGCAGCTCTAATTTACTTACCACTTTCAGTGTGTTCATAGAATCAGAGAATCCCAGGTTGGTTAATCTTTCTTGTCAGCTTCTTCAGGCACTGGAAGGTCACAATGAGGTCACCTTGGAGCCTTCTCCAAGCTGAGCAATCCCAGTTCTCCCAGCCTTTTCTCACAGGAGAGGTGCTCCATCCCTCTAAATCAGTATGGTGGCCTCCTCTGGGCCCACTCCAGAGTGGAAAGAGGCTTCCCTAATGACAGCTCAATTGGCTCATTTTCAAATCTTTCAAGAGCTTTGGGATTTGTTAGATACCTACTCAAGCTCTGGCAGAGGAGAAATGTTCAAAATAAGTCTTACCAAGTTTCTGCAGTGGAATAATGTAATAGAATAGAAAGCAGGAGTTAAGTATAACGAAGTGCTGAGTTGGAACCTGAAGGTGAGCAAGTGTAAAGTAGATGAATGGAGAATTATTTGTTGGAAAGCCTGAAGTCATTAATGCAGCACAGATGGCAGACAGGGCTGAAAGGTGGCTTGGTGTGTGGTCTGGGAGCTGAGATAAGGCAGTTCACAGACGTAAAAGGGTTGGGAAACTGAAGCCCTAAAGCAAGGAGTTCTGGTCCTTTGCTTGCTGACGTCTGGAGAGCTGTCGGGTGAACTTGGGCTGGCAGGTCAAGCCAAGCTGGTCTGCAAGTGCAGTGGGATTTTCTGCATTTCTGGCAGGAGCTGGAATGCTGTGTAGCTCTTATCTAATAGTTTGAGACACTGATAATCAGGGTAGGAACTATTCTCACATCAGTATAGATAATACTCAGAGCAGGAATTTTCTGTGGAAATTGCTGTAACTTGGTGCTGACGAAGCAAAGCAACATTTGGTTGTTAACAGTGCTCCTGAATGGAGTTAATACATTTTCATGGATTTGCTTTCTTTTAAAAACAAAACACAGCTGCTTGGAATGCTGTTAAAACAGCATCTTGTCCCGGCTGCAAATCAAAATTGACTCTGAGTGACTGTTTCCAGTGTTGCTGTCACTTGAATGGCCTCTCTTCCCTCGTATTTGAGAGTCAAATGACATGGTGCATTCCCTGGGAGCGCTTGCTGAAGCTGGCTCTGGGAAGATGATCAGAAAACAGCCCCTGTGGAAAGTTCAGGAAATAGTTCTGAGCTTTCCACAAAAATATTTTCATTCCACGTTTTGTTTGTTCTGATGTAACTGCCCAGTATTTTACATCTGGCTTTCATACCTTCTTCTCTTCCCATTTCAAACGCTCCAGCAACCAGTCCTTCTTCCTTCCCGGTGTTTGCCATCGCTGCAAAAACCGAAAACTCGGAAAAATGGGGCGCTGAAGGCGATTCCAAAGGCTCACTTGCAGTTTGTTTTTTGTTCTGTTGAGATCCGGGGCACAGACAGGAGCGATGCCCGCGAGCTGCACATCGCCTACAGGCACGGCGAGCACTACGACAGCGTCAGGAGGCTCAGCGACGACTCGGAGGCGCCGGCCTGCCTGAGGATGGAGGTGGGTTCTGATGGAATGAGCTCGGGGTGACACACTGTGGGGTTGTATTCGAGGGTCCCAGGACGAGGGAAGAGATGAGAATCTTGACTCCATGTTTCAGAAGGCTGATTTATTATAGTATGATATTATATTATATTAAAGTGCTATACTAAAATTATACCAAAAAGAATAGAGAGTAAGGATCCATCAGAAAGCTGGAAAGGAAAGAATGGAATGAATAACAAAAACCCGTGACTCTCAAGAGAGTCCACACAGCTGGAGCTTTGACAGGTTATTAAGTAGAAACAACTCACATGGACCAATCACAGATGCACCTGTTGGTAAACAACAGACCACATTCCACAGCCATCAGATAGTGAGTGTTTATATTTCTTTTCTGAGGCTTCTCAGCTAGAATAGGAGAAAAATCCTAGCAAAGGATTTTCATAAAAATATCATGGTGACAACACAGAGCTGGGGAATGCTGCCAGCTGATTTCCATTCTCACTTGGGATGGAGGGAGGAGCTGGGTTGCTGTGTTGTGCTGGGAGGGCAAAGCCCTGAGGTTGTAGCTCATGCTGCTGGCTCTCTCGGGAGGGGCTGCAAGGAGGATTTCAGCCTCTGGGCTGGAAATGAATTCAAAGCTGATGCTGTGATGTGGGCTGTCTGGAAGCAACCTCATCTAAATGATGTAATCATGCACCTCAAATGGAAAAACAGGGAAGGGAGGAAAGAGCTGGAAATGCAACAGCTGGATGTGGTTGTCTTCCTCATATCTCCTTTTTTGATGTTGAGGAGCAGTTGTGCTGTGCTTGAGGTTCTCTGCACACAGCTGAGGTGTGGTATTGTATTAAAAATATTCTGTTTAAAAGCTCATTTATTGTGATTTGTGATGTTGTAGTACACTGGAGTTTGTTCAGCAGTGCAGGAGATGTGGGAAGCCCTCAGGGATGGTGGCAGTTACACAGTTTCCAAAAGGGTTTGACAAGGGATGTTCCTGAGAAAAGTGTGCCATGATAATTACTGTTCTTAGGATGCCAGACTTTGTTGGATTGCATGCTTGTGTGATCTGCTGGGTGTGTGATCAGTGTGATCTGCTGGGCTTTGCTCTTCTTCAGATGCTTTGCAAGAATGATTCAAGTAAGGCAGAGGAAGTGAAGCCACAGAAGGGCAACTCTGAAGATGAGACTGAGGTGGAGATGGAAGATGCTGTACAAAAAGTGTGCAGTGCAACTGGGTGTTCAGTAAGTATTGAGGAGCCTTTCTGGGCTTAATGTTCAAACCTTGATACTTGAGTACCATGGCCATCAATCAGGGTGCATCTCATCCTAGAATCAACCCTTAAATGCAGGTGAAATACCAACTTTTTTGTGGATACCTGATAATTTTGGAAGGTTTATCTTGAGGCTGTCATAAAAATTCACTTGGAAACAAGTCCTGTAAGTTCTGAAATCCTTTGGGGGTGTTGAAGATCCCAGATAACTGGATAATCTGTGACTCCTGGCTGTTGGCACTGTGCAGGTGCATAGAACAGAAAGGGCCAAGGGGAATCTTACACTGAAAACAGCATATTCCTTTTTTTCTGATAGCTTCAGGAATTTAAGATTTTCCCCCTCACCCTTTCAGAAATGGAGCACAGACCAAGTAAATGATCATAAAAGCAGCAGCCCCCTCTCAGTGGTGCAGGTGTTGTTAAGTGTATGTAGGTCAGAGATTTGAACTTCTTCAGTGTTCTCCTTCCCCTCTTGTGGACAGGACATGGATTTAGTAAGCCACATTCTTGAGGTGGAGGACCACAACGTGGAATCTGCAATATTTGCCATCTTGCAGGTGAAGGAGGGGGAAGGAATAGGTGAGTGCACAGTTTGTCACTGGAGGCTTCGGGTGACCATGATGTTGGTGGTGGGGACAGGAGCAGGAGAGGTGGGGTTTATGTGCTGCCACTTCAGCCTTCTGTGCTGAGGAAGGTTGTTAGTGAGGGCAGCTTCAATCCAGCTTCCAAAAATCCCCAGGATTTCTGGGAAAAAGAATTGGCTGACAGTGCAACAACTCCTGGGTAGAACATGTCTGAGGAAAACCTCTGCTGTTGGCAGGTACTGAGGAGCAGCAGGAGCCCCTGGGCAGGGAGCAGAAATCCTGCAGCAGGACACTGTGGGAAGAGAACGGAACTGGTTCAAGAATCTTTGGAAATCAAGGTGAAGTAGAAAACAACAAGGGTCAAGCTGGATCCAGGGAAGAGAACCGAGCCAGCAGAAACCCAAAGGTGTGTGAGGGGTTTGACAGCAATGCGAGCACTCTTCAGTGATTGGGGGATGCCTTAGCACTGCTTACTCAGCAGCTCTCTTCTCCTTTCAGTTAAAAAGAGCTTCTGCTCACTGCATTTTGTCACTGCTGCAGCTGTGACTGCTCTGCCACAAACATTTCCTGGTGATGTGCAGCACTCTTCCCAAAACAGTTCAGAATAAAGTCCTGATAAATAGTTAGGAATGTCCTCTGGCAGCTGCCTTGGTATCTGCTTGTCTCCTTTATTACTTTTCCCCAGCTGAGCAGAGCACGTGGGGTTTGAACTTTGTGTTTTCATCGTTCCCTTTCAGGTGGCCAAGAAGCAAAGGAAGGAGCAGCAGCGGCTGGAGAAGAAGAAGCGGCAGGAGGAGAGGCACCGGCAGAAGGTCCTGGCCACCAAGAGGGACAGTGCAGACACCAGGACAGAGACAGACCCAGCCAGCCACGTCACCCTGGTGAAGGCCATGGCAGCCCTAAACATATGACTCAGTGCTCTGATGAGAAAAGCAAATAAAACTGATGAAGACAAAATTCCCCCAGGAGAATTTCCAGGCACCCGTGTTTATCTTAAAGTCCATCTCTGCTGGGGTTTCCAAACACAAGAGAACTTCCTCTTCCTTTGCTTTGGGGAGGACAATTGCTCATTGATTCTGCATCAGCCTGTGGTGAGAAGAGCTGTTTAAACTTAACAGGAAGTAGAGACTTGTAACTACAAGATTAGAGACCCATGAAGGTGAGGACCTTTTCTTCACACAATGGTGTCAGATTTGTTTCGACATCTCTTGATGTGCCTGGTTTTGTTTCATTGGGTTTTTTTTCTTTTATTTCGTTATGCCTGGAGGAGCTTTATTTTACCTTGTTGTCAGGGAAAGCTTAACAAATCTCAACTCAGGAATATCTCTGGTGGATCTTTTTGTATTTAAATTCAAATAAAGTAAGGGAACAGAGTCTCAGAATCCTTTCCAAAGCAAAGTGTGTCAGCCAGCACTGTCTCAAATAAAACATTCCTGTTTTGTTTGCCATGCAGGAATACAGTGACAAGTTTTAATCTCACTAGAACTGCTGGCATTGCACTGAGCAGGTTCAGAAGTGATGGATACATGGAGGGAGACAGGGATTGCTGCATCCATGCCTGCTGAGGTTTGGGATCAGCTCCTTTAAGATGAGACCTGTAGGAGGGGAAAAAAACCCCAAAACAATAATCCCAGTGGACTCATGAGAATGCAGAGCTGATTCTTCGATCTGGTAAAATGTGACAGGAGCAGGCTTGAAGTTTCTGATGAGTGTTGTTACTTGGACACCTGGAATCTTGTCCCCTTTGCCCTGTTCCAGAGCTTTTGGGCTACTCCAGGGCTTTAGTCCAAGTCAGGAGCTGGAGAGGTATTAGTCTCCAAATGAAATTAGCATAGCCAAAGGACCAAGAGTCCTGAGAAGAAGCTTCCAAGCAGCAGTGATCCCTGGGAAACCTGCCGATTTCACTTCATAAATCAAGCTTTTTTCCAGGGTAGGTTCATTTCTTCTTAAATTCCCTTTTAGTGAGGTCACCCAGTAGGATGCACAGCTTGACTCCTGTGATGTTTTCCACTGCAGGACTGAGAATTTGGATTGAGGTGAAAGGACTGTGGGACTCAGCCTTTGATTTACAGCTCACAGTGTTTCAGCTCCACTCAGGTTTTTGGGCTTGTAACAAGCACTAAGCTTGAAGAAAGCACATGTGCACTTACACACAGGAGACACCTCATCAGCCAGGGCACAGGTGAAAGGGATTTTTTAAAATTAAGGACTATTGCATTTGAAAAATTTGTCTCTGCTTTAAAGTTTATAAATCAGCATGGAAATATTAATTTCTTTTTCTTTTACTGAACTGCTAAGAACTGGGCTGGTACTTGATGTGGCCTGCTGCTGTTACTTGAAGAATAAAAAGAAAGGAGATCTCGTGTAAGAACTGGTGGTGTAGGAATTCCTTTGTCTCCAAGACAGTAATTTTTACAGTAGTGGAAAGGGAGGTGAGTCACAGCTTAGTGGGGAGAAAGTGCAAGTTCTTTCAGGGGGTGATAAATTGTGACAGCAGGTTTGGCAAGGCAGTGCAGGTGACTGTGTCACATGTGTCCTGCCCAGTCCTGTGTTTTGGTCTGAAAGGCAGGTGTGTTCTACAGGTTTGGAAAGATAAGAAATTACAGCTGTAGACTGTGAGTAAGAGGTTTGATCTCAATGAATTGGGTTTTTGTCCTGTGGAGCCAGAGCTGATAAGGCATTCGTTGTTGCCTGAAGCCTGAGGGCTGTGAAGGGAGTAGGTCTGGAGGCTGAGCAGGGAACCCAAACCTCACCCCATCGTGTGTTGGATGAAAGGGGGGGTCTGCAAAGCAGCACCAACAGCAGAGGGAGAGATGGCCTGCAGCTCGTGGCCTCTGATACATGGAACAAAGTCTGCAGCTGAAAATGCTTTAATTTTGAAGTGTAATATGATTAAAATAAACTCCTAATGTGCTGGGCTCATAAATCTTGACAAACCAGTCAAATTCCCTTTATCTTGCCAGGGTAGCTTTGTGCCTGCACAGCCATTCCATATCCAAAGATGTTAAAACTGATTTTGTCTGTTTCACATTTTTCCCATTGAAATTTCCACCTTCCCAATCTAAACTTTTTTTCCCTAGGGAATCTTTGTGCAACATTCTTCACAGGACTCAGTTTACGCAGAGAATTTGCTTTTAAAACTGGTGGTGGATTTTCCTGGGAGGAAGAAGGGAGGCAAGAAAGCAGAGCAGAACAACACCGTGATTCATACATCATGTGTGTTTACTCCTTGGTGGAGCTGAGTGCTCCGTAATCCACGGGCCAGGGATGGACAATAAGCTCTGGATATTCCCTCGGGCTTTGAGGAGGATGACTGTTTGTTCTTAGCAGCTGGCTGACAAATATCAGGGTGTTTTGGCTGCTGCTGCAGCAGGGTCACTGTGAGCCTCTCGAGGGCGAATACGCAGCAGGAGGATGCAGAAAGCCACTCTCCCTGCCTCCCATCTCCCACCATCGTCTTCCCTGGACTTACTTTCCCAACTCCTGCCCCTGCAGGTCAGGAATTCAGTTGAACTGGAAGTTTTAAGCATTTAGGCAGGTTCTGGCTGACCTCCATAAACTTGTCTGTGTATGGGGAAGATCTTCTGCCCGTGCTGCTCAGTGTCTCCTTTCCCTTGTTCCTACTTAGGAGTTGCCTTCTGGTTTATCTCACAGCTTTGCCACGTCAGCCATGGTCTCCATAGCTTTGGGAGCTGCAGAAAGGGAGAGAAATTGGGGATGAAGAATGATCCATAATCCAGTGTGGGATAAAAGAAGATGGTTTGTGCTGGTGTTGAGCTGTGGGGTGGTTCCTTGGAGCTTCCTGAGTGCAAGCACCAGCCTTAGAAGGCAGCATTGGCTCTGTCTCAGCTTCTGGCATCCTTATTGCCTGTAGAAGATGAGAAGAAATTAGTGGTTTGGAGTTACAAAGATACCACATTAACTGTAGGAGCTTGAGGCAGGGGTGCTGTCGCTTGTAGTCAAACACTTAATCAAGCCAGGCGGGAGCCCCCAGCACTGATGTGGAAATCAAATAAATTACCCTTAAAACTCCTTTATTTTAGGCAGGTCATGTCTCCAGAGGCAGCATTACAGCTGGAGGTGCCTCCATCAATGCCCAGGGTACAGCCAGCCCTGGCTTGTTGGAGGTAATTAGGGCTAATTTGGGGTCATGTGCAGCTGTGGTGTGGGACAAGGTGGCTGCATGGAGCTGCAGCTTGAGGAGATGTCTGTCCACTAGAAAGAGCCACCCAAGCCTCTGAGGCCCCACCCCTGGGCTCCCCCATGCCATCAGTGAGTATTAATTGCTTAAACAGTCATTAGATGTGGGATGGGGCTGGATTGTGATTGAGGCTCAACCCCTGGAGAGAAGCTGGGCTCAGAGCCTGCTTTAGGGTTGGGGTGCAGCAGCCACTTGCTGTTTCTGTGGGCTTTTTTTAACTCTGGAGCTCTTAAGATTTACTGGTTTGCTGCTAAAATGTCACTTCTGGTCATTTTTTAAGACAAAATGCATGCAGGAAGGGACATTTTCTTCAAAAAATCAACTCCCGAGTTCCATACTCTTACCTACCCCTCCCACCACTGATTCCCAAAACACAACACTGGCCACAACTTTGAAACATTGCAAATCTTTATTTGCAGGGTTTGCCTCATTTCCATGAGTTATTAAACAACGGGAAGCAGGTTTTCCCTGTGCTAAGGGAAAGGTGCTGGACACTTTTTCAGTGCCACAGGGCTGTGCCGTGTCCTGCCTGGCCGGAGGGAAGGCAGAGCCCCCAGCTCCGATGGTTTCTGCCGGGTTTGGAGCTGCAGCACGGCAGGAGAGCTCAGCAGGAGGGTGTCCGGCCCCGGCACTTGTGGTTGGGGTAGTTGCTGTAGGATTTGCGGTAGGAGCTGGCTGCCCTCTGGAAGCACTCCACCGCCCTCTTGTCACACGCACACGCTCGTTTTTGGCATGAGCTCCCGTTTCCTGGAAGAAAATTGGGGGGGATGGAGGCAGGTGAAGGGTGTGAGGGTCAGGGCGTGTTTTTTTACCATCCCCACAGCGTGTGCAGCCCCTCTGTTGAGTTTGGGGTGTCTGGGGTGTGCAGCAACCTGCCCCTGGAGGGAGCATTCAGGTCACCTTCCCTCTGATGTGTCTCTGGGTGTTTGCCTGGATCTCTGGGATGTGCTTTGCTGTGCTCTGTGGAACAATGAGTTCACTCTGGGGGAGTCAGGGCAGCTGTGCCAGGTCCCTGTCTGGGATGGGAGGGTCCTCTCAAACCCTTGGTGTTTGGCCTCTCGGGAAGGACAAGGCTCCTCCTCAAGCTCTAAACTTCACCATAATCCAGCAAATCTAATTTGCCTTATTCCTGGCACTTTTCCTGTGTTTCCACCCACTTCACTGTGTGTGATTTCCAGGCCAGGATGATCTAAAGGGGATGCTGGAAGTCAAGCTCCCCGAGTGGGTGGCCGTGCCTCCCCGCTTGCAGCTCTGCGCCCGCCCCGCTCTCACCGCAGATTATTTGGTTTCTTTGGAACGCGTATTTGTAGGTGACCGTTTTGGGGCTGCAGCCGGAGGCGACCAACTTCTTGTAGCAGCAGTCGTGGGCGTGACAGCACCTGGGGGCACGAGAGCCGAGGTCAGGGCAGGGGACAGCTGGGACACTACGGTCAAACATCAGCCACGTGCATCTCTGCTTTCGGCTGCTGCTGCTGCTGAGCCGCTTCTACAGAGGCTTTAAGGACAAGCAACAACTTTCTCATGGCTATTTCCACCCTCAGGAACGAGATTGCACGTGCTGTACCCGGGGGCTGAGGAGGGAGCCCGCTGTGCCTTCTCCCCTCCCAGCGTACCTGTCGGTGGCATCCAGGGGCTGTTTGGAGCCGCCCCAGCCGCAGTAGCAGCCGTATCCGTTGTAAGCCAGCGCCGATTTCCCCGTCTTCAGCTTAATCATCCTTGCAAACTGGGCCAGGTTGCCGCTGGCAAAGGCCAGTCCTAGGACTGGAGAAGGCGGGTTAAGAGCATGAGGAAAAGCAACCTCCCATCCCACCTTTCCACAGCAAAAATGGGTATTTCACCATTCCCATGTGGCCCTGGACCCGGGAGCTTTCCCGGGGTGGGAGCTGGTGGGGGATACTCACAGAAGAGGAGCAGCGAGAGGAGCTTCATTGTGGCAGTGGCAGCTCCAGGGTCTGGTGAGCCCAAGGTGCTGCTGGTCGCACCTTTTATGGCCGTGCACCCTCAGCAGGGCCCCTCCTCTGGGGAGCCCAAAGTGGGCAAATATTGACAATCCTCACCATACTGGTCCCGCTGCTGTGCAGGTGTCCTGGCACTGCTGGAGGCTGTGGGATGCCTCATATGGTGGAGGTCTTGGCAGGAGGCTTTGGATGTGTGGGATCTTGGCAGGAGGCTTTGGACGTGTGGAGCAGCCTGGGGCTGAGTCTGTGCATGGCTCTGGGTGTCTGAGCATTCCCAGTGCTTTCTTGAGTAAAATGAGAGAACTTGAGGGAGAACAGCAACCACTTAGTATGTGTCCTTGCCCATGGCAGGGGGTGGAATGAGATTGTCTGAGGAGTCTGTGATTCCATGGTCCACTTTCTTCCTGGATGACAGTTTTTTTCATGCCTTGGCTAGAAATCACCATTCTGTGTCTTACTGTTTCCATCCTGACTTAGCTGGGCAGGGAGAAAATGCAGCCAGTGCAAAGTATCCTCCCTTTCCAACTTACCAGAGGGGTGAGATGCAGCATTGGGAGTGGAGGAAGATTCCATGGTCTCCAGAAAGGCTGTGGCTGGAGACAGAGCTGAGCAGAGACCATGTTTGGTGGTTTTCTTGGTAGTGGGGCTTCCTCAGTGCCCAGATGCCCCCTGCATTTGGGGATGCTCCATCCCTCTCCCCATGTTTGCTGGGCACTGTGTTTTGCTCTCAAATACCTCATGGCATGAGATGGGTGGTTCACCTTTATTTAGAAGCAAAATAAGGGAAATGGCAGGGAATAAAAAATGCAAGTGATGTATATAATAGAAGGTGGGGGAAAAAGAGGCTGCTTGTGTCATTCGCTCAGGGAGACTGATTAAATTGGTGGTAGTGAGCAATCAGCAGACAGCTTCTGGCAGAGATTGCAGCTGCTCTGTGCTGCTTTTTGGGGAACCCCAGCATGGGCAGGCACTGAGGCAGGGGAGGAAATCCCCACAGGGCTGGTAGGGAAACTGAGGCAGGGAACAAGGATGCAACTTGTGTGGGAATCAGAGAGATGCTCTGACAGAAGGGAACTCAGCTCAGCAAAATCTCTTCCCTCCGCTCTGGTGTGGGTCCTTTGCCTCATCAGCTCTCTGGGCTAATTTAAGTAGTCCCCTGGGATGGTGTTAATTGGGTAAAGCAGGATTTGCCATAATTCAGGATTTTCCGAGTCCACAACCAGTTTTATCACAGGGGAATAAGGGATATTCTTGTCCATCAAACTGGCTGAGCTCCACTGAAAGCCTCTCCACCCCAGCCCCTCTACCTGTGGCAGGTTTGCAGGGCCACTTCTCCAAATGGGTAAAAAGCCCCCCCAAGCCAAATGCCTCCTGGGGAAGCTGTGGATTTTGTTTCATAGTATGAAAACCACAACTCTTGCAGCCCAGTTTATTGCAATGCTCTGAGGGGGTGCAGCATCTGAGCCAAACCATCAGCATTTGGAGGATTTGTGTGAATGGATTTGTACAGCCGGATGTCCAAGCAGGAAAATTCATGGATGGTTAAAATTCACCCAGAATTTACAAAGGGACAGTGTGATTATCTCAGCCTGCAATCTGTCTGGGATATCCATGCTCTCGGTGCAGATTTGATCCTTGATTTATGCCCTGCAATTATCAGCTGCTGGGCGAAGGGCTCCTTCCTCCTCTGCCCCAGGGTTCCACACGGGTGATTCCCTGATTCCCGGGTGGCAGCTGGCAGAAGCATCGCTGATTTCAGGGCTGTTTCCTGGTGCCATTGAGTTCGGCTATGGGGCAATCCAGGGAATTCCAGCTGGGAATCAGCCCCTGAGGAAACAGTGTTTTGTTGCTTTTTCTGTGGCTTTATTTCCTTGCTGAGGCCCCCTAAGGCATTTGGAGCCCGGAGATCTGCTGGGGTCAGCACCCCAAGGCACAAAACCTGGGGATGCTGAAGTGGGGGGAAGCAGCTACTGCTTGAGCTGCCTTTTCCTGAGGAATGTGCTCAGGATTGTTGCAGAATTGGGCCAAACATTCTTTTCTGGTGAGAACTCTGTTTTGCTCAGCACTGGGTGTGAGGCAAGCTCCCGGCCATGCTGTCACAGCAGAGATTTAGGGGATCACAGAATGTCTCGAGCTGGAAGGGACCCACAAGGATCAGAGAAGTCCAAGGCCAGCCCTCCCACGCCATCGTGCCTGCCCCCGGCCCTTCCACCGGCCTCATTCTCCGTCTCTCAGAAAAACGGGACATTTTCAGAGCCTGAAGGTTTAGAGCTGAGTTGGGGCAGTTCAGGGATGAGTTGTGTCACCTCTCAAGTGTCATTTTTGCTGAATACTTCAACAGGAAACCTGTCTGAGAGGTGAGGGGTGGTCGCTGGGCTCAGCTGAGTCACTGCACACTGGGAACCGGTGCTTTGGGCTCTCTGGTTTTATTTTGGAGCAACAGGAGGGAATTTGCTGAGAAGCAGGAAGCGGAGGGAGCGGACAGGCTGCCAAGGGGGACGCTTCCCATCCCGCCCCTCACCGGGACGAGGGGCAGGTGTCCACTCCTCCCTTGTTTTGCCGTGCTGGACATCAGGTCAGCGCTGCTCCCGCTCCTCTTGACCGGACGCTTCTTGTCCTCGCCTCGAAGCCAAAAAGCCCCGAGGAGGAGACTCGCCAGGGCTGGGAAGAGCTGCCGGCGCCGTCCCTTCGCCGATCAGCCCGGAGATGGTTTCGCAAAGGGAGTTTTTGCCTCAGCAGCGTCCGGCTCGTCCCCGGCACCCTGCGCGGCGTAGGAGCTGGGCCTGGCCGAGCCGGGCCTGGCCGAGCCGGGCCCGGCACAGCCGCGCCGCCCGCTCGCACCTGCAGGCGCCTCGCTGGCAGCGCGTCCCCGAGCCTGCGGGCACCGAGAGCGCCCCTGAGACCTGCCCCGAGCAGCCCGGGAAAGGGCGCCACGAAAGAGGGGATGGTGTGGAAAGGGGCATCCCGAGCCCCGGGGCGAGCACTCACTGCAGGTGGGGATCCCTGCCCGGGGCACAGAGAGGGGCTGCACGGGTCCCAGGCGGCAGCGCCGCGCTGCCAGCCGGGCGTAGCAGCAGGCTCGGAGCAGGCAGCACCTGCGGGAGGAGGAGAGCTGGGCTGTCGGGAATGTGGCACCGGCTGCTGCTGCCCCAGCTGGCACAGGCTCTGCGAGCCGGGCGGGAGAGCCGCCAGCTCTGCTTCCTCCTGCTCTGGATCACCCAGAAGCTTCTCTGTCCTGCCCGTTCCCACGCCAAGCCTCTGCCTCCCCGTGCAAGCCCTGCCCCGCATCCTGGCTTCAGGAGCGTCCCCCTCCTCTGATGGCATCCCGCGGACCTGGCAGTTGTCGCTGGCACCACCCTACCGACTCCGGGATGGAGTTGGGGTGAACACTGCATCACTTTCCCTGCTTCCCGAAAACCTGATTCCTTCCTGCTGCTGCCAAGCACCCGGTCTGCATTTTGCAAAGCTTCAGGGGGGCTGCTGGGGTGGTGCAGGTCCCCGGGGTTACCCCGGGGCCAGCGTTAGCCCTCTGGGGCAGCGTTGCCTGTACCGATCCACTGAAGCCCTCGAGGTGCCCCATCCCCTGTAGCATCCATGGGCAGTCAGGTTTCCTACGGTGCTTCCCTCGAGTCCTGGTGTGAAGGTGCGTGGGTGCTTCCCGTGCGCTGTGAACACACCTAGAGTGACCATAAAATGTGATCTTTTTTTTTCTTTTTCTTTTTTTTTTTTTTGGTAAGTTATGTGCAGGAATGAGGCTTGGGGGAACTGGGGAGGGAAGGAAGCTTTGCTGGGAGTCCCCCTGAGGAGTGCACAGGACTTTGGGGATGAGCCTGGCTCCTGTCTGTGGGTCGGGGTGCACTTACTGCAGGCAAACAGCATCGTCAGCACCAGCAGGACCTTCATCTTCCTCTCACCTGGGCCTGGGAGGAGAAACGGGACAGGCTCAGCCAGGCAGCGTCACCAGTTTGATAGGAGCAGCCGTGAGAAGCTTCCTCTGAAATAGGATCAACCCCAAAATCTGGAGGGAGGAAAGCAGCTGTGCTCCCTCGCATCAGCCTTGCTGCCTCTCGGCCGAGAGCAAGTGGTTTCTGGAGCATCCCCCACCCCCTGCCGCCCCCCTCCAGCATGTCTCACGCCCCGTCCCACCGCTTTTGGCGCCCAGCGCAGCTCTCCCCGTGCAGTGCAGCCTCGCACTGCTTCCATTCGGAAGCGATTACACTTTTCCTACAGGCACGGGCCGCTCCCGCTGCCTCCCCGCAACATCCCCCGGTATTTTTCTTTCCACAGCGGCGGAGTGAGGGGGGGTCGCTCACCGCTTGCTCGCTGTCCGTCTGTCCTCCCGGGGAGAGCCTGCCCTGCGTGTCCAGCCCGCGAGCTCCGACTGGAAGCTCCAAAAGGACTCGTCTGTCCCAAACGCGGGGAGTGCTACGCCCCTTCCCCCCCGGCCAGCCCCCCTCGCCCGCGGCTGCAGCCTCGAGTGACGCAGGGGCCGACACCGAGTTCTTGGAAAGTTTTGAGAAGATGTTGATTATTTACGGGGATTTCTCTCCCTGCCCAGCAGCAGCTCTCAGAGGGCCGGGGCCGTTGGACAAGAACGTTGTTTATTTCGACGTTGTTTTAGTTTCCAGCGGCTCTGGTGCGGTCGGCACGGGCCGGGATGAAGGGTGATCCCGGTGCCGCATCCCAGCTCCCGTCACCGGCACCGCGTGTTGGGGTAGAGCTGGTAGCGTTTCTTGTAGCTCCCGACGTTTCTCCTCAGGCACAGCGCCAGGCTGCGGTCGCACTCGCAGGACAAGAAGGCACACCGGGAGCCCTGTCCTGCGGGACGAGGGGAGCCCAGGGTCAGCCCCGGCTTTGGGGGGACGGCACCCCCTTTTCCAGGGCCCTACTCACTGCAGGAGAGCCTGCCGTAGTGCCAGTTGTAGCGGTAGGGGCGCGTCTTGGCATCGCAGTGGTACCTCAGGAGGTTTTCGTAGCAGGTGTCATGCAGCTGGCAGCATCTGCACAGGAGATCGAAGCTTTAGGGGATGGAGGTTTCTCCCCCTCATACCACGAGTTTAAAAATAATCAAGAACGTGTCCGTGCAGGGGGTTTTTAAGTGGGCTCTCACCTGTCTGTGGCATCCTTGGGCTGCCCCCTGCCCCCCAGCCCGCAGTAGCAGCCGTAGAAGCCGTAATACAGAAGAGCATTTTTCCCTGTCACCTCTGAGATCATCTGGTGCAGCTGCAAGAGGCTCCCGTGGGCTGGGGGCAAGCCTGCAGGGGGGGAAATCAGGGAGACCACACTGATTCCCTGTCCCCCCAACAGCAGCTCCATCCCTCCAGCCCCTAAACTGGCACCAGGCTGGTGATGTCTTAGAAATGATAATGCAACAGAGAGGAAATGTGTTCCCAGCTTGGCACAGGAGAGTTGTGGCATTTTTGGGAGAGCTGGTGATGGGGAGAGGTGGAGAAATCACCAGCCTGGTCCTGATTTCAATGGATGTAGCTGCACAGAGAGCCTTGGGACTGAGAGAGGACACTTACCCCACACAAACAGCACGGAGAGGCTGAGGAGAGAATTCATCCTGACGGCTCTGGGAAGGAAACCAAACCATTCTCTGTTATACCAACCACCTTCTTTCTTTCCTTACTCATCACCCAGGAGCAGAGGTTCTCCCTCTCTCTGGGGAGCAGGAGCAACAAGGAGTAAAGATGGCCCTGTTGTTTCGGCACAAAGCATCAGGGATGGGAAGTGATGGGAATCAGATGGGGGAGAGGTAGGAAAAAGCATAATCAGGAGAAAGGGAGAAACATTGGAGGGATGTTCAGCCCTCAAGGGCTGCACCCGCTGCTTTTCTTCTGGGCTGGCATCTCAGGCAGCATCTCCTTCAGTCCTGCTTCCCAGGCTGGCACTTGGTCCCCACTTGCACCACAGCTTCTGGTGAAAGGAGGAAAAGAGGGAAAGCAATCCTCCATCCCCACTTACCTGGGAAAGCCCTGCTGCCTTGCAGTGCCCTGCAGCCAGCTGTGCTTGCTTTATATATCTTGCTCCCATCTGCCTGGGTCTCCTTTGACCCAAATCTCGCTGACTGGACTTCCCTGCAAAGGAGAAGGTGCCATCCTTCCCCTTTTGAGGAATGTCAGAAATCCCCTGAGGCCCCAGCTCCGAACCCCACACACGGGGTGGGTGCTGGGTGGGATGGGGTGGAAAAGCAGCATCACTTCCAGCCTGAGGAGGAAGCAAACACACTCTGCCTCCTCCTCTGCCCTTCCCAGCACCAAGGAGCCACATCAGGGGGGAAAGAGCAGCTCTGGTTCAGCCTGGGCATAGACACAGCAAGTCTCTGGCTTTCAGGGAGGCATAAGGTGGTTCAAGGAGAGTTATCACTTCTTTGGGCAGAGTCTATGGGCAATACTGAAAGCATCTCTCAACGTGCAGTTCCCAGAGTCACGAAGTTGGGCAGGCACTGGATGATTATACCCTCACTCACCATGAGAAAACACAGAAGCAAAATGAATATTCTGAGGTGAGAAAGTTCAACTTCTCTTTATTTCTCTCCTTGTGGTTTTTCTACCCCCTCAGTACACCCTCCTGCAGAAACCATTCAGTCATCAACTGCCCTCCTAAATTAGCACTTGACTAATGTAAGTGGTCAAGGCTTTGAAATCTTCCTTCCTCTGTGGATGATTATTCTGTAACCCTTATTTCCAAGAACCATGGAATCCCACACGGATTTGATTAGGGAGGGACATTAAGGAAGGAAGGTGACTTGTCTGTCTTTTGTCTTTTGTGCTGGAAAAATGGTTTTTTTCTTGTCCTCCACTGACAAAGTTTTCAGCCAAGCCCTGATTCCGGCTCCTCTTTGTCTCTGGTGTCACGAGTGATGCTCCCAGGCTGGCATGTGCCTTGTGCTTATCTGAATTGCTCACAGCCCATTAATGCTCCTCTGGCTAATTACTGCCTCATGAATAATCTACAATTAATTTACATACTCACGGTGTTTTCCCTCTTTTAGCGTGTTTGCATAATAAAATGTGTTTCTAGAAATGCTTTATGTGGAATTGTTTATAGCAGGAAATAGATATAAAAGAGCAGTTGTGTCATTCCTAGTAAAATCCTCATGTGCCACAAGCCAAACATCCCAGAAGATCCTGGGGATACTCCCGTGAGCTTCTCCCTGTGCTGAGCTGTGGTTCAGGCCGTCCTGACTCTGGGCAAGAGGAACAGAAAAATGACACACACCTTAAAAATCCCTGTGAAGCCTCTTCTTGTATTCCTGGGACTGTTCTGTTGGTGTTCCTCACAAAGCTCTTTGGATGTGCCCTCTGAGCTAGGAATTGGAAATTCATAGAATCCCAGACTGGTTTGGGCTGGAAAGGACCTTAAAGCCCATCCAGTGCCCCCTCCCCGGCCATGGCAGGGACACCTTCCACTGTTCCAGGCTGCTCCAAGCCCTGTCCAGCCTGGCCCTGGACACTTCCAGGGATCCAGGGGCAGCCACAGCTGCTCTGGACAACCTGTTCTTCAAACGTCTAGCTCCACATTGGATAGATGTGGGAATTACAGCCCTGTTGGGACCATGGAAGTTTTGGGGTGTCGGGCACATGGTGTGGCTGAGGTGAGGGATGCAGAAGTGCTCCCCAGACTCAGCAGCCACCATTGCAGTGCCTCAACCTCATCAGCCCTCACAGAAAAACACCATGGAGAACTAGTTTGCATCCCTTTTATTGTATCTGTTATCTCTGCTGGGAAATGAAATCAAGAGAGGAGGAAGGGACAAAAAAGAGGAAGCTGGTGTGTCTTTCCAGGAGCTGGGGGGTCTCCATCCATGGTGTGTGTGCCCTTCTCAGCCCGAGCTGCACCTCGCAGGGAGCCTGGGGGCTCTGCCTTTACTGCGCCCCCAGCCCAAGCTTTTCTTGCTGGGGAAAAGCAGCCAAAACCTGGAACTCGGTGTGCAGATTCGCCCTCCTCAGCACTGGAGCTTGCTGCCTTGGCATTTGAGCTTGAAGTAGAAGCGGTAGGAGTTGTTGTAGGAGTGCAGGGAGCTCGCGAAGCACGAGGCCACCGCGGTGTCGCACAGGCAGGTCTCTGTCTCGCACCAGCTCTGCTCGGTGCCTGCGGGGGAAACACGGAGCCCTGCGGTGCCTCTCCCCCCGGGGGGAAGGGGAAAGAGCAGCGTGTCCCGCTGCTTGCACTGCCCAACCTGCCCACACCCCCGGTGCCCATTTAATCATCGCAGCCGGGTGGGAACGGGGCTGGATTCAACTGGGGGAGGCTCTCGTGTGTGCCTTGCTGCGGGGCTGGGGATGCGGATGGGGATTGGGATTGGGACTGGGATGGGGATGGGGATTGGAATGGGGATTGGGATGGGGCTGGGGATGGGGATTGGAATGGGGATTGGGATTGGGACTGGGATGGAATGAGGCTGGGGATTGGAGTGGGGCTGGGGATGGGGATTGGAATGGGGATTGGGATGGGGATGGAATGGGGCTGGGACTATGATCGGGCTGGGGATTGGGATGGGGCTGGGGATAGGGATGGGGATGGAATGTGGCTGGGATG